GTGAGGAAAGAAAGATGTAAAGGCAGGTAAACTCACATCAGCTTTCACACTTCCTTATCCCAGTTCCCCCAGTGAGGACACAGCCCCAGTGGGGGCACGCCAGCTGGTGAACCACTGAGTTCTCAGGCCCTGATGGAGAGCTACATGTTGCTCATCAATAACAAAAGCCTGGAAGCCCAGTCGCTCAACCAGCAAAGCACACCTGAATTCTGTCTTTCTTTCATTAAAGTAATTCTTGCTTATCTAGGAGGAGATGAGGGGGAAAAAAACAAAACGAAGAATAGTTTCTGTAAATTCTTATATCTGACTAATGTATCCATTTAACAAATACTTACTAGGCACCTTCTACGTGCTAAGCACTGAGACTGGAGATTAGACACCACACTAATGATGGACTGAAGGTAGTCCCTGGCTCTCAGGTGCTCAGAATTTAGTGAGAAAGGCAGACAAGTTTTTTTTTTTTTTTTTTTTTTTTTTGAGATGGAGTTTCACTCGTTACCCAGGCTGGAGTGCAATGGCGCGATCTCAGCTCACCGCAACCTCCGCCTCCTGGGTTCAGGCAATTCTCCTGCCTCAGCCTCCTGAGTAGCTGGGATTACAGGCACGAGCCACCATGCCCAGCTAATGTTTTGTATTTTTAGTAGAGACGGGGTTTCACCATGTTGACCAGGATGGTTTCGATCTCTCGACCTCGTGATCCACCCGCCTCGGCCTCCCAAAGTGCTGGGATTACAGGCTTGAGCCACCGCGCCCGGCCCCGCAGACAAGTTTTTAAATAAGTCATAACCCTGTCATAATCCTGCTTGAAAAGAGGTATTAATGAGGCCTCTGGAAGAACAGTGGAGGAAGCACTTAAGTCAGCCTGGGGAAATCAGAGAAGACTTTCTGACGGATGTGACGTTAGCCAGGCTTTGAAGAAGTAAGAGCTTGGGTGGAACGTTGTATCTTGCAGAAAGATGTTACTATACAAAGGGAAAATACCAAGATTCCAGAAGACAAGGATAGCATGTGGAACCTACAAGTCATGAAAATGAAGGGCTGGGGGAGAAGAGGCTGAAAAGAGGCAGGGTCAGCACAGGAGGGATTTGGATATACTTTCCGCCATTAAGCAACAGGGAGGCAAGAATTTTAAGGAAGGATCGACAATGACAGAACTGCCTTTATGAAACTTCATCCTCACAGAAAATGACCTGAAAGGGGAGGAAAACAAAAGCAGGAAGACCAGTTAGGAGGCTGCTACAAACAGCAAATAAAAGGCAATGGCACTGAGAATAGAGAAAAGACGCCGGTTTAAGGTACAGTGCAGAGCTAGCAGAGAAGGCCAAAACTTAGCAGCCAGCTGCATGGGTAGGAGGAGGAGCCAAGAGTTCCAAATGATTTCCCGATTTCTGAGGCTAAATAAACCTAGGTGACAAAGGCCAAAATGGGAAAAAAGGAGAAGCAGTGGGGCTGTGGCTGGGGCAGAGACAAAAAGAGGGGTTTGTGTTTGCATGCATTCTGAGACACCTGTGGGGTATCCTGGTGGACATGTCTAGAAGGCAGCTGGAAAGACAGGTGTGAAACTCAGAAGAGAGGTCTGGTCAGGACAAAGAAATAGCCTGGGAGTCATCAAATATAATTCATGGGGCTCAGCATAGTGACTCATATATGTAATCCCAGCACTCTGGAAGGCCAAGGTGGGAGGATAGCTCGAGTTCCGGACCAGCCTGGGCAATAAAGCAACACCCTATCTCTACATAAAATTTAAAAAATTAGCTGGGTGTGGTGGCATGCACCTCTAGTACTAGCTACTTGGGAGGCAGAGATGGGAGGATCGATTGGGCGCAGGAGGTTGAGGCTGCAGTGAGCTGTGATTGCGGCACTGTACTCTAGCTAGGGTGACAGAGTGAGACCATGTCTCAAAAATTTTTTTAAATAAAGAATAAAGAAAAAAAGTCATCGGTGCAGATGAGATTGCCACAGCAAGTGACAGAATGAGAAGGGACAGAGGATAAAAGTGATACTTTTGCTTTCTTGCCTCCAAATCAACAAGAGGGACAGAGCTCAGTGCTATTCACTTGCTTACTGCCATATGCCACCCCGTGAGCCTGAACTCAGAACCGACACAAGTTCCACCCATTTTGCACATAGTCATAGAATGCAATGAAGGAGAAAACCACAAGACCACAACTTCGGCAAACTCGCTCACTAGCCTCGCTCTGATACCCCAAGCTCAGTTCACAATGACTGACATAGGCGTATGACACAAATACTTCACAACATGCTTCTTTCGGGGAACTAGGAAGATAAAATAGGAGGAATATAAGAGTCTAAGAAAAGTCACTCTGTGCTTCCAAATAGGCTGGTCCATCTTTACTACCTGTCAATGTGTGTAGTTTAGGAACGCAAACTCCCTTTCACATCAAATATAACTACAAAGGTTACTCTTATGCCTTGTTCTTGATCAAGAAATATATCCCAAAGCCAAATAATAAGAAGCATACTGTCCATCGTTCTGTGTTTTTTTATTTCCATGCCCTCACGTAACCATGGATAATTGAGCGTGAACAATATACTTCAGCACAAAGCTGGGATTGGCTCCATCTACACCACCAGCTGAGACTGGCCCATGTGGCCGAAATAAGAGATTTAAGGCAAAGAGCTGAAACATGCACTCCCTATCAGCAGACAGGGCGACCTTATTGAGGTAAAATAGGTATAGGAGGAAGAGTAGCAAATCAGTGAGTGATAACTGAATTTGTGAAATGGAAACATTACTACATCAACTACCATAATTTTATAAAGGAACCCTTGATAAGGGTCATGCATGATCCCCTGACATGCCCAACATTCTCACCAAGTGATTTTATTTTCCTGGCGTGATAGCTGAGAAAGCTGAGGCCCAGAGAGTGGCTAAACTCCCCAAAGTCTCATGGTCAACTCAGCCCAGGGTGCCCAAGGGCCCAGGAAGAGTTACCAGTGGAAGCAACAAAAGGTTCTGGAAAATTCAGCAGTGATGATGGATGTCTCAGGAGTAAGGAGTTAGACAAGAAACCAGAGGAGCAGGCACAGCAAGTAGCTTCTTCAACTCTCCTTCGTTTAGACCAGAGGAAGGCCTTGACACTGCTCCTAGAACAGCTCATTTCACACTGTCTGGGGCAGAAGGCATTCCGGATTATCTTTCATATACTGACAAGGTATTACCACCTGAGAGTAATGGTATAGACACAAACTAAACATGCCTGTCAACACTGTTATTATGGAGCCAAAGAATCCATGCAATAAATTTAAAACTACTACTAAAAAATACCCTTGCTCAGTAGGCAAGGATTTCTCAACTAGTTACTATGCTTAGCATAATATGCTTTAGACTCTTCCTGTTTATCCTGGGGTTCTTTGCTAGAGGTGATTTTACCCTCCAGGGGATACACGACATATCTCAAGACATTTTTGTGGTCACAAGTCAGGGATACTACTGTTGTCTGGTCAGTAGAAGCTGGGAACGCTGCTAAACATCCTACGACAACATGCCAAGGGATCCCAGACATCACAGTACTGCTACTGAGGAACCTTGCCAACTACCCCGCCATTGAACCCATAAGCAGGAAAGCATGGAACTTACTCTTTGGCCCCTCTTCTGGTATAGTAACAGGCCTTTTGTATTCTAGCTTTAAAATAACAACAAAGAGCTGCCTATAGGATCAGCCAGTCTTCACCTGATTTCATGTTCTTAAATACCAGAGACAAAATGCTTGAGGCTGAGCAGTGGACCCAAGGGCCAGCCTGTGTCTCAGTGTTTCCTGCCTTTGTGAAAAGGAGAGAGCAAATTCTCTGCTAAACTCTCAGGATATGAGAGAGGGTTTAACAGGGAAGTCTAAAAACTGTTACGTATGCAGTGTGTGGTATAGGTATAGATTCTCTATCAGAGGTGTTTGCAGCCCACAGGGTATTTACTGTGATTCTACTACTAACCTAATGACAAAAAAACAATTTATTTTAGAAGTGCCCAAGCGTTTTAATAACACACAAGAGTCGAAACAGGCTTAGCATTGGAGACAACCCAGTCTTGACAGGGAGCTCCCCAAATCCCTTTACTACCTTTTACTGTCTAGTTCTTATTTATTTTTTGAGACAGGGTCTTCCTGGTTGTCATCCAGACTGGAGTGCTGCGATGTCACCATGGCTCACTGCTGCCTGGAACTCCCGGGTTCAAGCAATCCTCACATCATAGCCTCCCTAAGACTACAGACATGCACCACCATGCCCAGCTAATTACAAAAAAAATTTATTGGGTAGAGACAGGTCTTGCTATATTGCCCAGGCTGGTCTCCAACTCCTGGCCTCAAGCAGTCTTCCTGCTTCAGCTACCCAGTGTTGGGACTGCAGGCGTCAGCCACTGTTCCTGGCCCTGTCTAGTTCTAATGATTAATAATCATCTAATCACCTTTAAAGGCCGTTAAGAGCATTGAGAAACTCTGATCACTTAATTGTGGTTTTAGAAACACCATTTCTCTGTCTTCAAAGAGAGAATTTGGTAACTGAAAACTCGCATTCTAATAAAGAATTCTAAGAAATGCAGCTTAGGTAGTCAGATTTAGACTGAAGATTACAGGTCTTCTTTCTGGAAGCAGGTACAAGCACAGGTAGTTAAGGGCTGAGGTGAGCTAAGAGAACTGGTTAGCTCTCTCACACCACATCTAAAGAGAAAAAGGAGTTGGTGGGGGCGCAGGGAAGCGGGGCTCAGTGGATCAGCCTCACTTTGCGTCTGGCAGTTGCGGATGGCCGGTAGATAGGAAAGCCAGTATTGGCAGAGCGGTCTCCCCTTAAAAAACCCACCTGCAGGTTATGGCCACAGCACCTCCCTCTGATATCCTGGGGACAAGAAGCAAAGCTGAGTGCATGCTGAAGAGACAACGCGGAGAACCCATAGGCAAGGTGCTCATCCCACGAGGCACAGCAGGAGCTTCCTCCCGCCCTCGCCATCCCCATCTCCCTGGCAGCGCGCTGTTACTTATGGCAGAGAGGACAGTAACGCAGGGGGAGTCGCCCACGGGCGGGACTTGTGGCTGAACCCCAGGCCTCAGACTGCAGCCGACAAGTGACTGCGACAGGCCTCACCGGAGTCGGGCCCTGAATCGGCCTGCTCCGCGTCCGCTCCCCAGTCGGCGCCCCGGCCAGCTGTCCGCGCTGGGGGAGGGCGTCCTGGGGGTCGACTCACCGATCTGCCCGATGAACTCGATCTTGATGCCCTGGTGCTCCAGTCGCTTGTTGGGGTTCTTGAGCGCAAGGCTCACCTTCCCGGAGACCGTCTCCCCGTCGTAGAAGAGGAAATATTTCTCCTTCTTCCCGTCCTCCGTCTTGTGCTCGGCCCGCTTCCTACTCTCCGCATCGTTCAGAAGGATTTCCACCTCCACGCTCTGCCCGAAGCCGAAGAAGCTCATCGCACCGCCGGACCGGGCGCGTCTTGGTAAGGACCGCTCCCTGGCACCGGGGCGCGGGCTGCCCTAAGGAGGGAAGGCCAGAGGGCCCGAAGTGCGAGAGCGCTCGGCAGCCGCGCGCCGCCCGGCTCCGCCGCTGCCACGGGGCAGTGGGCGCCGACGGACAGCCGGCTGCACGCGGGAGGGGCAGGCCGGGGGAGGCGGGCGGCCGCGGGCTGCAGCGCCGGAGCAGCAGCGCACCGAGGAGCAGCGCCCTGCGCCGAGCCAGTCCCAGCCAGCCCAGCGGCCGGTGGCAGTGGGCGGGCGAGGGTCGGCCGTGCAGTTCTGCGGAGGACAGCCACACAGAGCCGGGTGTGCGTGGCCTACGCCTGCCGGGTGCGGTCCAGCGCCGAGCAGCGCTGCGACCTGCCCAGCCTCCGGCGGTGCAACGCACCGTGGCGCTGGGGCAGCTCCTGGCGGGGGAGGGGGCGGGCGAGCTCCAGCCCGGATGCTTCGGAGCAGCCGCGCGCATGCGCACCCTTTTCCTCCGCTCAGGGACCTCGGGGCCGCCAGGATCAGTCGCTGCGCCTGCGCAGGGAGAGCGCGCCAGGCGCTCCCGCGGTCGGCAGGACAGCCGTGGCCTCACTGGGACGTGTTCCGGGCCTGCGCGCGTCGCGCAGTCCACAGAACTGCAGCTGTCTTCTGGGAGAGCTTCCGGCTGCTTTTTCCTTATTGCTTTAGCTCAGTGCAAATTGGGCTGCCTTCCACATTCGGATACTACACTGTTCCAGTGCTGTCTGACGGGAAAGGCAGCCCTTTGACACTCGCGAAATGTCACCTGAAGAGGGCAAAGGTGACAGCTACTACCGGAAGTACCCTGTCTCAGATACCCTTTAGAGTTCCTCCCATTGAAGAAAAACGGGAAGGGAAAGACGCTGTTAGGGTTTAACTCGGGCCCTGGCTCCTTCAGGAACGACAGAGCCTGACAGTCCGCTCAAGAGCCTTGCTTAGCTTCCAGTCTTTTACCCGACCGGTTCTCTGCGCCTGCGGCAGACGAGGCAGGTGATTGGTTGAGCGCATGGAAACGGCTCGGCGCGGTGATTGGCGGGTAGGAAATTCTGTACGTTGTGATTGGTCCGCAGGAACGCCTCGGCGCGCGCGCGGGAGCGAGCTTTGAAAGTTGAGTGCTGCGACTGCGAGCCGGTACCCTGGGTATCATGGTGGCGCTGCGGGGCCTTGGGAGTGGCCTGCAGCCCTGGTGTCCGCTGGATCTTAGCCTCGGTGAGCAGACGCAGCCGGGAGGCCCGCGGGCCGGGGGTGTCCTTTGCGTCCCCTACGGTGCCTAAGCCCGGGCCGGGGTGTGGGTGGGGGCGGGGAGGGGGCGCCCAGCTCCCGTTGGTCCCTGGTGTCCCCAGGCCCGTGCACGCCGGGATTGCGGCCAGCCAGGTTTCCCATGGGGCGTCAAACTGGCCAGGCCACCCTTAACAATAAGCAAACGTAGGCTGGCGTCTTCTAGCGCTTGTGCATCTGTTTTCTCCGCCTTCCCTGTCTTCCTGTGCACATCTTCGTGCGTGTTGGAAATAGATGCTCCGTGCCACAAAGAAAAATTAGTCCTGAGATAAAGGAGATTTCAGCGACGCAATTTTTACTTCCTGGGCTGCAGGAAGGGTACTCTCACTAGCCGTCTTGCCGCAAAAGTACAGTGAACAAAGGAGGACAGACAAATTTATTCCTTATGCATTTGGGGTTTTTACTGCTGTGTCTGATCTCCCAAGGCTAGAGCCAGACCTCACAATTTAAACTAAAACCTAACTGGCTAAAAACTGAAAACTTTTTAAACAGGTAAAAGCATTGGAGAGCTGCAACATGCCTGTGAGCACGTACAGCACAGGTATCTTAGTTAAAGTACAAGGACGTAGAATGTACTACGTGCCTGTAAGCAATGGCATATCTAAGTTACACAGGATAGGGCTTAACAAAGAGTTATTGGCACACTTAAAGATTTACTTAACAAGAAAAGAAACTTTTAAAAAGGAACTTTTCTACTTCCCGCAGTACACCTATTTTTATCTAGTAAGATGGTTTTAAATTGCAAATCTCTTTCTTCACCCAGACTTAGTTCTTGAACTTCATGTTCATAGGTTCAACGGGATGTCTCAAACGCAGACGTCATCAAAGGTCACATGAGTGAAAGTGGGATTCCCAAAGCCTGCTAATGGCACCAGCCAAGCCACCAACCCAGGAGTCCTGGCATTTCTGCTTCCCCTTTTATGCCCACCACCACCACCGGTTGTCCTGCCTCTGAGGTGTCTCAGGACCACCCTGCTCCATTCCTGATGCTGCTGTCCCGGCTCAGGCCTTCATCTTAGTCAGCCTTGAGCAATTTGCAGGACTATTTTAGCTGCTTTCTGATGTTAACTGTGCCAGCCCATCCCCCACACTTTTGCAAAATGACTTTTGAAAACACAGCTCTGAATGTGTCAAGCCTGTACATCTTTAATCTTTCCCCTTTGTTTCCTGAATAAATGAACCAGATCCTTAGCATGATTTATAAGAGCCTTCACCATTCTCTGTAGTATGCTTTTCAAAGAGCATACCCTTTGGAGTCAGACACACTTGGATTGCTCTCTTGGCTCTACCCCATAGCATCCGTGTGTTACCATGCAAGTTGCTTATTGCTAAACACCTGTTTCCTGATCTGTCAAATGGGGAATACAGTATCTACCTTACAGGGGTTTTGTAAAGATAAATATTGTACCTGCCACATAGTAACTGCTGAATATAGTAATTCTCACCCTCCACACCCAAACTCTATGTTTTAAAAATTTTTTTCATTTTGAAATACTTTAGTTTATTTCTGTTTCTGCTTTATTACACTGTGCTTGCTGGGGTGCACTTTTCTGCATTTATTTGCCTGGCAGAACTCTTACTTTCAGGCCCAATTTAAGAATCATCTTACTCCTCTCCTCCTGCTTCCTCGGTAATATTCCCTATTAAGTTCTCTAGCATGTTACATTTTATGCATTATTTTAACACTCATCCACTGCAAAAATAATAAATGCCATCTATTTACTGTTTTTTATGTGGCTAGCACATTGTTAGGCCCTTTTTACACATTATCTTTCACAAAAATCCTGTATTTCCAGTGATGAAGAAGAGACTAATTATGTGTAAGTGATCAAGTCAGGATATTTGCCTTGTTCTGACTCAAAATTCAGTGGTCTCTCTTCTATCATCGGCTGCTTTTTTTTGGTACCCTAAGTGTGAAATGTTGACATCTTTGTGGACAAGAACCTGCTAGCATTCCTCTTTGTATTCGTAGCACTGTAAGTGGCTTCCCTAGTATTTTCTCAAAGTGTTTGTTGAGTGAATAAATGATGTATTTGCTCCTCTTCTTCCATCCTAAGTGAAATAGTAGAGCAGAAGTTATCTGCATTTGACAGTTGAGAAAATAGATAGTGAGGGATTTGGGTTGAATAGTGTAAGGACATTGAAAAAAATCAAACTCAGTGTCTCCTATATTCTCACTCAGCGATCAACACAGAAGACTTCTGTGACCAAATGGTAGATAACAGGGCCAGTTACTTTCATCCAAATTAGGTTTGACGGTATTTACAGTAGGGAACTATTATAAGCAAAGCCAAAAGAAGGAGAGAGATAACTTTTGCTGTGTTCTATAATGACCTTTAAAACGTTGGAAATTTAGAAAGATACAATTATATTTTCAGATCTTCTTTCAGGCAGCATATTTCATGTCTTTGGAAGGAATGCTGTGCACAGCCACTTGCAGTACAGAGACCCCCGCCTCCAGGGTCAAGTTCAAGTGACAAAAGATAATGAGCAGATATATTCTAAGGAGGATGGACCTAGTTGAGTGCAAGGCCTATCATTTGCTGAGTGCAGTGTAATGCTCACATCTCTGTTTTTTCTTTCTTTATACCCTGCCCAACTTCTCTAAATCAGTGTTGAACAAATACTTTTAATATTAATTTGAAGGAATGCCTGATTAATAATTTGTATGAGATGTCTACATTTCCATCTAGTCATAATTTTTTTTTTTTTTTTTTTGAAACGGAGTCTTGCTTTGTCACCCAGGCTGGAGTGCAATGGCATAATCTTGGTCACTACAGCCTCTGCCTCCCAGGTTCAAGCAATTATCTGCCTCAGCCTCCTGAGTAGCTGGGATTACAGGCACCTGCCACCACACCCGGGTAATTTTTGTATTTTTAGTAGAGACGGTTTCACCATCTTGGCCAAGCTGGTCTTGAACTCCTGACCTTGTGATCCACCTGCCTGGGCCTCCCAAAATGCTGAGATTATATGCATGAGCCATCACACCTGGCCCATCTGGTACTAATTTTAGTTTGGGAGAATAACAACAAAAACACTGAAGAAATATAGTTTGTTAGAAAAGAATGGGAAGATTTAGAGTTGAGAGAGATTGTTAAGGAGTCCAGCATGCTGTCTTAATATCGTTCCTCTCAATACATTCTTTCAGTCAGTGTATTTTAAAGTCACTGGATATTTCTGTGAGTCTGAGTCTGGCTAGCCTCATTTTAAACTTCCTGGAGAAATTATAACTGGTTTTTAAATACTACATTCTTGTCCAAAGACCTGATAAAGTGCTATATATTTTATTTGCACTCACTAACTTGGTTATGATATTTTCACAAAGGGACATCTTGGGCAATCTGATTAACCTCTGTTTCTTCTCTAGATTACACATATGGGAAAGCCTGATCACGAAATGTTTTGAAGTGTCCTTTCCCAAAACTGTTAGATCTTAAAAGTGTTTCCTTGCCGGGCGCGGTGGCTCAAGCCTGTAATCCCAGCACTTTGGGAGGCCGAGGCGGGTGGATCACGAGGTCGAGAGATCAAGACCATCCTGGTCAACATGGTGAAACCCCGTCTCTACTAAAAAAAAATACAAAAAACTAGCTGGGCGTGGTGGTGCGTGCCTGTAATCCCAGCTACTTAGGAGGCTGAGGCAGGAGAATTGCCTGAACCCAGGAGGCGGAGGTTGCGGTGAGCCGAGATCGCGCCATTGCACTCCAGCCTGGGTAACAAGAGCGAAACTCCGTCTCAAAAAAAAAAAAAGTGTTTCCTTTATATTTTTAGAATATGATTAGCCTAATAGCCAGCTCTCACTTGTGATTTAAGATTCTCTTAAGCTTTGTGCAGTGGCAGTATCATAGCCAATGAGGTTTATCCAAGGCACGATTATTGCTAATTGAAAACTGTGACAACTTACAATATAGTTGGCACTGACAATTTTTGACAGTCTCTGTGGAGACTGAATTGAAACAAAAAAAGAGAGAAGAGATTCTCTTAACCTTTTCTGCTTTTCTTTTATTATGCTACATCTATATTGTTATAACAAGTTAAATATGAATTGTGACGAACTTTTCTCCTCTTGAACGTACCTGGAATCTAGAGGTGATTCTTTTTTTTCCTTGTTACAGAGCACTTACAGATTTCATTGCCTTTTCCCCTAGAATGGGTTGACACAGTGTGGGAACTGGATTTCACAGAGACTGAGCCTTTGGATCCCAGCATAGAAGCAGAGATCATAGAGACTGGATTGGCTGCATTCACGAAACTCTATGAAAGTCTTTTACCCTTTGCTACTGAAGAACATGGATCTGTAGAGGTAAAAAAATTTAAAACAAACTAGCCAAATTTTGGTGTTAGAAGAAGGTGAAAGTCATTATTATAATCTAAAGCTTGGCGTTCTTGGTGTACAGTTCACAGAGAGTACAATATGAGTAACATAAAGACTGTGGTAAATTTATTGGAATATCCTAATAGGTTTCCTCCAAAAGATTCAAGGTACTGGTCTGATTTTTTTTTTTTTAAGACAGGACAACTTTTTACAATAGCAAACTAAAGGAAAAGTATAAGCCTGGGTGTGGTGGCTCAGATCTGTAGTTCCAGTACTTTTAGAGGCTGAGGCTGGCCAATTGCTTGAGCTCAGGAGCTGGAGACCAGCCTGGGCAACACGGCGAAACTCTGTCTCAGAATGGAAAAAAAAAAAAAAAAAGGAAAAGCATAAAGGCAAAAACAAGAAAACTAGTCCAAGGAAAATTGAAATAACAATCCAGACATGCTTTCAACTTAACTTAAGAAACTCTGATGTTACTAATCTGAGGAATGACTAGTTGAATTAACAGTTGTCCAAAAAGTTTCTGTAAATACTGAGTTCTTTCCAGTGCATAGAAGTATAAATTATTATTAATATTTAGGTTGTTAGTTTTCAAAAAAAAACAAAGGACTGGGAAGCAGAACAAAAGTTAATTGGATATTAACGTCTCTCAAACATTTAAATGAACAAAAAAAATTTAGTTACAAGTTTCACATCACAAAACTTAAATCATGTAATTAGACACTCCGTCATCATAATGGTAAGTATTGCCTTAAGTACCTGAGTTGACAGGGTGGGGGTTAAGATACAAGCCTCTCCCTAGGCTGAGGTCCCTCCCAGGGAGGAAGTGTGGACATTTGAACACTAGCCAAACTAAGTCCAGCAGCCACATAGAGCTGCAGGGGGTGGAGAGTGCAGTGCCACTGTGCATTTGGGTGCCTGGAAATATTCTGTGAACCAAATTATGGAAAATGTTCTAAGAGAGGTGCAGATTTGTTACATAGGATGTGAAAAAGGGAGCACGTTAGGCTTGGGGAAGGTTCCAGAAAGAAGGTGGCCAGCAGCGAATCTTCACAGATGACTAGCAGAAGCTTGGGTGGCAAGGCTGTCCTAGTGAAGGAGCCACCCAGTGGGAACATGCAGAGAGTGCTGAGAGGAATACAGAAAAGGTGTGTGGTGGGACGGGACAGTAAGGCAGAGAAGCATAGGTCATGGGTAGCTTTACGTGAGTGTCAGCAGTGGAGTTTGAACATGTTTAGTAAAGTGTGTAGGAGGTTGCATTTATTAACTCATTTAATCCTCACAAGCAGCCTTGTGTGGAAGAGGTTACAGTGAGCAATAAAAAGGTAACATGAATAGATCTGTTTTAGGCAGATATTCCTGACAGTAGATGGACTGAAGTGGGGGAAAAAATGTGTGCAGGGAGAACCCTTAGGAGACTTTTGGTGATCCAGGTGTTATGAATAATAATGGCTTGGTCTGGAGTTATGATTTTGGGAACTGGAAAGAAAAGCTAAAAACTAGGGACATTTTTGGAGGTAGAATTAATAGGGCCTTGTGAACTAGGAAGCCTTTGTGAGATCTCTAAGACACGCTGTGAACTGCTAAACTGACTGGGCATAGAGAGTTAGAAAAAGAAGTAAGTCAGTGATCCGTGGATTTCAAAACTGGGAAGATGATGATATTGTTAACTGAGGTGGGGAATAAGGGAAAAAGAGCAAGGTCAAATGGAGAAACTGAGTTCTGTTTAGACTTCTGAGCGTGAGATTCTTTCAGGAGATCCTTGGGCAGTTTAGCAGGTAGTAGAAATGTGAGACCAGGAGAGACAGGAAAGTTCTTTAAATCGAGGTGTGGGTTGAAGCGCAGTGATGCATGAGATCACTGAGAGGAGAAGAAGCCAGGACAGAAATGGGGAGCTGGTTGGAAGGGGTCTGTGGAGGGGCAGTCAAGTGTAGGGAGTGCGGGGGCACTGATGCCCAGACCAGACAGCAGCCATGAGATCACATGGGGCCATGGTGACTTCACACACAGAGCCCTGGTTTGGGGTGATCTATCATCCCGGTGAGTGCAGTGGAGGCACAAGTGGCATTAGGAATGAAGGTGTGATACTGTAAAGGTAGGAGATTATTTCTTTTTTTTCCCTCCTTGAGACCAGTGTCTTGCTCTCTCATCCAGACTGGAATGCAATAGCATAGTCATGGCTCGCTCACTGCAGCCTCAACTTACTGGGCTCAAGTGATCCTCGCACCTCAGCCTCCTGAGTAGCTAGGACTACAGCTGGTTGCGACCACACCCAGCTAATTTTTTATTTTTTGTGGGGAAACAAGGTCTTGCTTTGTTGCCCTGGCTGATTTCAGACTCCGGGGCTCAAGCAATCCTCCTGTCCTGGCCTCTCAAAGTGCTGGGATTGCAGGCATGAGCCACTGTGCCCAGTGGAGATGATTTCTCCGACAAGTTTTTTTAGTTAAGGAAAGGAGCGTGCTGAAAGAATTTTTTATGGTCTTTCTTTAAGATGATGTTGTGACTAATCAGAGAGGTATTACCTACCACTTCCCCTGCCTTTTCAAAGAAGCAGGAAGTACAAGGTCTGCTCACTTGAAGTTTGTGGGCCTTTTTTAGTTATATACTCAAGGATAAACCATATTTAGTTCCTGCTATGTTTAAGTTATTAAAATAACCCATTTCTTATTCATATGTTTAGTAGGAGAAGACATGGAATAGTGATAGAATTAATTAAATTGTAGTTACTTTTCTAGGGTTTATCTCCTTTACCTGGGCCACTTCCGAGATTTCTTTCATTTTCTGCTCCCTTTGCCTACAATCTGCAGAACATTTAAATTTAAATAAAAGGCTCTGATTTCCTCCATTAGTAATTATTGGTAAAGGGATTTGAGTTCTTTTTAAGTAGAGGAATTTAACTTTTCTGAATAATCACTAATATATGGTGTCCCAAAATTCTTAGTATAGTTTTAAGCTATAATTTCTGAAGTATATATGCTTCAAACTTAACAAAAAAATTATTTTGGAAGTATAGTTATTTAAATATGTTATATATATATTTATCTTTGTAATTTTGGATAATGTATTTTTAATTTAGATATTTTGTTTCAGTACCTTTGAAGATGGTCAACATTTAGCATTAGGAGCCAGGCTAGTCTTTCTCTTTTTGTAAGGCACCAAGAACCTGTAAAAATCAAATAATAGGAGATGTTTCCATTTCTCTCATGACCAGCTGTTGTGATTTTCCCTTTGCCTACAGAGTATCTGGACCTTCTTCATTGAGAACAATATTTCCCACAGTACACTCGTGGCATTGTTCTATCATTTTGTTCAAACAGTACATAAGAAGAATGTCAGTCTGCGGTATAGAGAATATGGCCTTCATGCTGCTGGGCTTTACTTTTTGCTACTAGAAGTACCAGGTATGTAGACCTGATATGATAGGATAAATCTGTCGTTTTTTTTCCTTCTACAGTTTTCAATTCTTATACTTTGTTTCTTCACTTGTAAATGGGACAGTTCTAACCCATGGCAGAGAATTGTTCTGAGAAACAAGTCTGTGAAGTACATGGCATGTTATAGGTGTTTGCAAACCTTCCCCCTTTTTTTTTAACATCTGAAATTATGCTATATATAAACTAATAAAAGTAATCTGAAAAGGACCACAAGAGTTCCACGCCCACCCTCCATCACCCCTGCCTAAAATTCTGATATTTCCCTTTCTTCTCCTGATTCCTTGTCAAGGCTGAAAAAAACTGCTGTGGGGAGCCATCGTGTTACGCCTCTCCTTTGTTGGTATTGAAAAATAAGTTAAAACCATCCTAATCAAGAAAACAGGAAAGCAGCTAGTAATACTTGAAGGAGAGCACTGACCAGGAGTCTGTTCGCGAGCACTGTTTCATTTTATTATCAGAACACTAAGGAGGCTGTTGTTCCTCCTATGACAGGGAAGTCCATTCTCTTCCCTACTCCAAACCCAAGGTGAGAGAGAATGGAACATAGAGATTGAGTTGGAGAACACTAGAAGACCTAATTTAACAATATTAGGTCTTCTAATCCTTGGCCTCAGGATTTCTTTTCATATGGAAAAGAAGATCAGTCACCTTGCTGCTTATCCTTGTTCATATTAGCATTTGTAATTAATGCTGAGGATTTATTCCATGTGATCTGGGAATGGGCAAAAGGGTATTATATTTAAAGCCTTGAACATTGGTGTGTTTTATTGTTAGTGCACCCAGAATGACTTTGGAAATGAGTAAGTTCCTAAAGAACTTTGTTGCTAAGCGGTGTCTCAGTTGTAACCAGGCCCTCTCTCAGAAAAGTAGTGGTTTTGGAAATCCAGTTTCACTCTCCTCTTGCCAGATGCAGCTTTTTCTGATTAAGGTTAAGATTTATGCCCGAGCAAAGACGTGGCTGTTACTAATTGCGTGGGCCACTTGCAGCTTTCCAGCAAGCAGTATTCTTGCCAATTACCTTCTGTTTTTAAATGTTTCAGATTTATGACTGGGATGCTGTGGATACTTAATATTCGATCATGAGATAACTCTTTTTCAAGATCGTTTTGCTTGTTCTGCCTCTCGTTCATTTCCATATGAATTTTAGGGTCTGCGTGTGAATTTCTGCAACAATGACAACAAAAAGCCAGCTGCCAATTTGACAGGGATTGCATTGAAACTGTAGATCAGTTTGGAAAGTATTGCTAGTTTAACAACATTAGGGCTTCTAATCCCTGGCCACAGGATATCTTTCCATTTGTTGTAGATCTTTAATTTATTTCAATAATGGTCTATAATTTTTGGTGTGCATCTCTTGCACTTCCTTTTTAAAGTTTATTCTTAAGTATTATTTTCAATGCTATTGTCAATAAAATTGTTTTCTTAATTTTATTTTTGGTTGTTTATTGGTAGTGTATAGAACCAAAATTGGTTTTGATTATTGATCTTATATCCTAGAACCCTGCTGAACTCATTTGTTGGTTCCAACAGGGTTTTCTTTGTGTAAGACCATGTCGTCTGTGAATAGACACAGGGTTACTTCTTCCTTCCTTCCTTTCTTTTTTTTTTTTTTTTTTTTTTTTTTCCCCTAAGACGGAGGAGTTTCACTCTTGTCTGCCAGGCTTTGGTCTAATGTCGCCATATCGGCTCACTGCAAACGCCGCCTCCTGGGTTCAAGCGATTTTCCTGCCTCAGCCTCCCAAGCAGCTGGGATTACAGGCATGCACCACCAAGCCTGGCTAATTTTTTTTTTCTTCGTATTTTTAGTAGAGACAGGGTTTCTCCATGTTGGTCAGGCTGGTCTTGAACTCCTGACCTCAGGTGATCTACCAGCCTCAGCCTCCCAGTGTTGGGATTATAGGCATGAGCCACCGTGCTCAGCCACTTCTTCCTTTCTAGCCTGGGTTCTTTCTCTTTCTATTTACTTTTCTTACCTATTTTCCCTGGCTAGAACCTCCAGTGCAATGTTGAATAGAAGGGGAGCGGAGCATCCTTGTATTATTCCTCATCTGAAGGGGAAAGCATCTAGTCTTGCTTTTAAGTATGATGTTACCTGTGGGTTGTTTCAGGATGGCCCTTATTAAGTTACTAGCCTTAGTTTGTTGAGTGTTTTATTGTGAAAGGGTGTTGGATTTTGTCATTTGCTTTTCTGTACTTGTGAAGTAATCTTGTGGTTTCTTATTCTAATACGGTATATTTCATTGGTTGATTTTTCATATATTAAACCAATTTTGTATGACCTTGGTCACGGTATATGATCCTTTTTATATGTTGTCAGAGTGTTTGCTAATATTTTGTTGAGGTTTTTCTGTCTATATTCATAAGTGGTATTCTTTTTTTGAGACATTTTGTCTGGTTTGCGTATCTGCGTAATACCATTCTCATAGAACAAGTTACGTACTATTTCGTTCTCTTGTGTATTTTTGAAGACTTGTGGAAAGATTGGTTTTCTCTTCCTTCAGATCTTTGGTAGAATCCACTAGTGAAGTCATCTGGGCCTGGAGTTTTTTGAAAGAAGTTTATGTTTGTAGATTTCTAGTGATCTCCTCTCATGCTTAATGTTGGCAATTTGCATTTTGTTTTTTCTTGATCAGTCTAGATCAAGATTTATTCATTTTACTGTTCATTTTGGAGAACCCCCTTTTGATGTCATTAATTGAATTCTGTTGTTTGTCCCTTCCTTGTTTCATTGATTTCTGGTCTTACGGCTATGATTTCATTCCTTACTTTGGGTTTAATTTGTTCTTATTCTGACTTTTGAAGGTGGATGCTTAGATCTTTGTTCTCACATACATATCTTTGTTTCTAATACAAGTATTTAATACTATAAATGTCCCTCTAAGTACAACTTCATCTGCTGTCCTACAAATTTTGATGATATGTTTTTACTGTTCAGGCCAACGTGATTTTCTAACTTTTATTGTCATTTCTTATATCTCTGAGTTGTTTAGTAGATTGAGTCTAATTTCCAAAGATTTGAACTTTTCTGAAATCTTATTATAATTGATTTTTAATTGTTGGGGTCAGAGAATATACATTATATGATTATAATACTTGTAAATTATTGAGTTGTGCCCTTTTTTTTTTTAATGGACCTGGAGTCTAATTTAGTGAATCTTCTGCTTCCACTTTAACAGAAGGTGTACCTTGCCTTTGTTGGATCTAGTATTCTGTAAATGTCAGTTAGGTCAAGTTGGTTGCAAATGTTATTCAAGACTTATATATCCTTCCTGAAGTTCTGCTTATTTGTTCTATCAGTTACTGAGAGAGGAATATTGGAATCTCTAAGAATAATTATCAGTTTATCTATTTCTCCTCTCAATTCTTTTAACTTAAGATACTCTGAAAGTCTGACAGATATGGATGTATTTATGATTATCATGTCTTCCTGATAGATTAATCCTTTTAGAGTTATGTTAAGTCCTTGTTTATCTGGTTATATTCCTTGTGTTGAAGTCTCTTTTGTCTAATATAAACATAGCCACTGTAGTTATGTTGCGATATGTCCTTCGTTGGTACATCATTTCTCATGCTTTTATTTGTAACCTATCCATATATTTATATTTAAAGGGTTTCCTGTAGACTGCCTGTCATGTGGTCATGGTTTTTCTTTTTCTTTCTTTTTTTTCTTAGGAGAGATCAGGTCACACACGGTGGTGGCTCACGCCTGTAATCCCAACACTTTGGGAGGCCAAGGCAGGCAGATCCCTTGAGGTCAGGTGTTTGAGACCAGCTTGACCAACATGATGAAACCCTGTCTCTACTAAAAATTCAAAAATTAGCTGGACATGGTGGCACATGCCTGTAATCCCAGTTACTTAGGAAGCTGAGGCAGGAGAATCACTTGGAATTCGGACAGCGGAGGTTGCAGTGAGCTCAGATCGTGCCACTGCACTCTAGCCTGGGCAACAGAGTGAGAGACTCTATCACACACACACAGAAACAACACAAGACAAAAAATAAAGTATATTTTCCTTTCTCCTTTTCTCTTCTTTATGTGTTACTTATTTTTTCTACATGTTGTAAACTCTTCATTTCATTGATATTTCTTCCTTATCTTTTATAGAATTTTTTAAAAACAAAATAAACATCTTTTATATTTGAAAGATTAATCTCATAAAATATTTCTTCAGCCTGAAGAACTTTTTAACATTTCTTATAGAACAGGTCTGCAATCCATAAACCCCTTCAGGTTTTGATTGTATGAAATATCTTCATTTCACCTTCAAGAATCTTTTAGCTGAACGTAAAATTCTGAGCTGCCTTTTTGTTTGGATTATGTATGCTCTGTTGTGATGTCTTCAGTGCTTATTGCAATTGGCTTCACTGAGCTTCTTGGATCTGTGGATTTATAGTTTCAACCAATTTGGAAATTTTCCAGTGATTCTTTCTCCAAATGTTGTCTTCCTTCCCCTTTTTGGGACTTGAATCACTCCTGTGTTAGACGGCGTGATGTTCTCCCATGGGTGACTGAGTCTATTAGCTTTTTTGTTTCTGTGCTCCTGTTGTATCTTCAAGTTCACTTACTTTGTCTCCATAGTAACCAAGCTACTATTAAGCCCATCTAGTAGATGTTTCTTTTTCAGATCAAGGAAGGTCTGTTTGCCTTTAAAAAAATTTTTTTTTTTTTTCATTTCTCTCCTCATGATAATTTTTTACTTTTAATTCTTGAGTTGCTTTAAGGTTGTTGTCAGCTGATTCCATTATCTCTGTCATTTCCTGGACTGTTTTATTGATGGATTTTTCTTATCATGGGGTAAATTTTCTTGCTTTTTAGCATGCCCAGTAATTTATTAGATGCTGGACACTTGTGTTTTTCCCCCTTGTATTTTTTGTAAAGACAGGGTTTTACCATGTGGCCCAGACTGGTCTCAGACTCCTGGGCTCAAGTGATCCACCCACCTCAGCCTCCCAAAGTGCTGGGATTACAGGCGTGGGCCACTGCTCCCGGCCAGGATGTTGGGCATTTGGAATGTTGTTGAGTGTCTGCATTTTGTTGTTTCCCTTTAAATACTATTGAAGTATGTTTTAATAGGCAGCTATTGGTGGATTGAGTTGATCCTTTTGAGGCTTGTCTTAAAGCTTTATTAGGGCAGATATAAACTATGCTATATTTGGTTTAGCCCTCCCTTTAAGATGTGTTTTTTCTGAGGTCTCTACTGAATGCTCTTGGTGTTTAACAAGGTCACTCCACTCTGGCTGGCCACAACTCAAATGTGTCTGAGCCTTGTGTGAACTGTGAAAATAATTCATCCTCTTGTTCCTTGAAAATACTTCTTTGCCCTCTGTCTTAGAATTTTACCTTGTGTGTGCATAGCTTATGTTCAGCCCTGGACAGCAGATTGCTAGAACTTTTCTTCTTCTTCTTTTTTTTATTTTTTATTTTTTTTCCCCTTTGTGAGATGGAGTCTTGCTCTGTCTCCCAGGCTGGAGTGCAACGGCGAAATCTTGGCTCATGGCAAGGTCCACCTCCTGGGTTCAAGTGAGTCTCATGCCTTAGGCTCCCAAGTAGCTGGGACTACAGGTGCCTGCCACCACGCCTGGTGAATTTTTTGTATTTTTAGTAGAGACTGGGTTTCACTATGTTAGCTAGGATGGTCTCGATCTCCTGACCTTGTGATCTGCCCTCCTCAGCCTCCCAAAGTGCTAGGATTACAGGTGTGAGCCACCACATCCCGGACTAGAACTCTATTTTTATGTATGTTCTTCTGTTCTATAAATTCTGTTTACCCTGTCTTTCTGACTCTGCTTTTTCTGCATAGTAAGACCATTATAATTTGCATGGATTCACCATTTCTCGGCTGTTGTCCAGAGATTGTCTCTGGATACAATACTGGGGCAACTTTAGGGTTTACTTCTTTGTTTCCCTTTTTTAACAGATTGCTCTTCTTATACTGCTTGGTGCCCAGTGTCTTCAAATGGTTATTTTATAAATCTTTGTCCAGTGTTCTAGTTGTTTACAACAGAAGAACAAGTGTAAAGCCAGTTGCTCTGTCATGGCAAGATGCGGAAACCTGGTTATTTATATCTGATGGAGCATTGTTGTTCCTTTACTAAGGCTGATGTTGGAAATGATACTGTTGCTAAAGGTTCTTTGTTATTCAGAGTCATGAAAAGCCTGTAGTTTGCTTTGTAACTGTTCATCTGTTGTTGCAGACATATTTCAAGACAATTAAATCTAACCTGCGTACTCTTTATTCCTTGTGAATAGGCAGTGTAGCCAATCAAGTGTTCCACCCAGTGATGTTTGACAAGTGCATTCAGACTCTAAAGAAGAGCTGGCCTCAGGAATCTAACTTGAATAGGAAAAGAAAGAAAGAACAGTCTAAGAGCTCTCCGGCTAATCCCAGGAGGCATAGAAAAAGGGGAAAGCGACCCAGGAAAGAAGATACTGAGGTAAGAAGTAAGTTGAGTAATAAAACATATATACCAACACACAGTTTTGTTTATTCAAGGATTGACATTATACTAAATATGATTTCAGGCATCATGATTATAGGCAAACAATCCTAAACCATCATAAACTATTCAGTACTGCTTTAAGTTGTCTCTTGGGCTTGATATAATTTTTTTTTTTTTTTTTTTTTTTTTTTTTTTTTTTTTTGAGACAGAGTCTCACTGTGTCACCCAGGTTGGAGTGCAATGGTGCAGTCTCAGCTCACTGCGCCCTCCATCTCGTGGGTTCAAGTGATTCTACTGCTGCAACCTCCTGAGTAGCTGGGGCTACAGACATGTACCACCACACCCAGCCAATTTTTGCATTTTTTTTTTTTTTTTTGTAGAGATGGGGTTTCATCATATTAGCCAGGCTTGTCTTGAATTCCTGGCCTCAGGTGATTTGCTCACCTTGGCCTCCTGCTGGGATTACAGGCGGGAGCTACTTCACCCAGCCTAATTTCATGTTCTTACATGACACTGTAGTATGATAGAAGTTCATAGACAGCAAAAATTCTGAAAAACAGGATTCCTCATTGACACAAAACCCCACAAAACTAGAAACTACTGTAGCAGTCAAGGAGACCTAGAACAGTTATGTGACCTGGTCGAAGTCATATCACCTCATCATCAGCTTCTGCCTGGAGTTTAAGCTGTCTGCACTTGGTCTGAGTAAACTGAAAACCATGGGACAAAGTGCTCAGTATATGTTGCAGTCACCTGTACATTTCTTCATCTCTAGATGGATGAAACTATAGAAGAACAAGAAGATGAAAACATTTATTTTTCTCCTCGGGACCTTTCTCAAATTCGAAATGCCATCTTTCACCTTTTAAAGAATTTTTTAAGGCTTCTACCCAAGTTTTCTTTGAAAGAAAAGCCACAGTGTGTACAGAATTGTATAGAGGTAAGTGAAAATTCCAGGAACTTTAGGGCAGCTTCAAAGGACATAGACTATGGCTAATATTTAATGAGTAGAAAAAATCAGGCCTTTTCTTGGTGTCTGTTTTCTAGGTCTTTGTTGCATTAACTAATTTTGAGCCAGTTCTTCGTGAATGTCATGTTACACAAGCCAGGTGAGCCGTTAAATCTTCCACTGCTACAATTTAAGTATAGTATACTGATTTTGCTCCAGCAGAAATGGAAATGCCATTTTTTCCTAATTGGCACAGGTAGAATTTATTCATTGAAACATGGCTTGTAGGACTAAGAAATATTCCAAGTAAAATCATATCCATTAACTAATATTTTGTCTTTTATCTTTAGAGACCTTAACCAAGCAAAATACATACCAGAATTGGCTTATTACGGATTGTATTTGCTGTGCTCCCCTATTCATGGAGAAGGCGATAAGGTAAAGGAGATGAGAACCTAATTTGTTTCTACTAGTTGAATTGAAGGTACACAAACCATACAGTGGAAAGATATTAAAAGCACTTGATATAATCGCCATTTCAATTTACTAGCTCATTTTTGTGACCTTATATTATTTGCATAATAAAAAGTATCACTGTTTCTATTTGCTTTGTTTTTTTATTGCCAAGTTTATATCAGAATACTTGGTAGCTGCAGCAAATTATTGTTAGGCTCCAGTTAGAAAAAATGGTTCTGCTGTAAATAAACTAGGAGGAACAGGTAAGCTGCTGAACAGTTACTTTTGTAGGAATATTTCCCAAATCATTTTAAAAAGTAGAATAGAGAATTTTCAAGTTTCCCTTGGCAATTCATGTGTGTTTCAGTATTTCTATTAATAATTGTACTATTTTTGATGATATTCTGTAGAAATTTTGTAGGTTGTCATCCCTGCTTAGCATTGATAACTGGGTTTTTTCTCTAAGTTACCTTAATAGTATCACTACTGTAAACTTTGGAATTAGAGTTAGTTGTGCATTATGGTGTTACTAAACTTAGATGTCATAAATTAAACAATGAGATTTTGCAAACAATGTGATGGACCACGGTCATGTGGCTTTTGGTATCTGAGATACAGTTAACTTGCAGAGGCGTAACTTGGTGGTTAAGATGTTTTTGGGGATACTTGAGGTTCTGCACATCTGTGTTTGAATTCTGACCCTACAACTTACTACCTGTGGGTCCTCGTCTCAGTCATTCAACCTTGCTGACATGTCAGATTTCACTTCGGGACAAACAGGACAAAAGTCTTATTCTTCCTTATAAATTTGTCACAGCATTAAATGAAGTTGAGCATGTCACATGCCGAACACAATGCCTGTTGTTTAGAAATATTCAATATTTTGTAAGTTTTATATCTTTATCACTTCTGTGTGTTGAAATCTGAATGTGATAAAATCCATAGTAATGTTATTCATTCCCATGCCCTTTTAAACATTTTAAATAATAAAATAGATGGGAAAATTCATCGCTTTAGGTCTACTGTGTCTGTAAAGATGGTACTTTTTTTTTAATTGTGAAAGTATTGACTTGATGTTAGGCAGTGTTGGTTTTAGCCTTATCTTTAATTATTTGATCTTGGACAGCACACATTTGGAGTTTTCTTTTTTTTTTATTATTATCTGTGAAGTAGAAATTACACATGTCCTTATTATCGCATGGAATTGTTGTAAGGTTTAAAATTAAATAAATATATGTAGCAAAATCTAGCTGCGTAAATGAAAGTTCTTAATGCAATACCTACCGTTTACTTGGTTGTCAGTAAATGTTTTATTTATTGGATGAATTAATTAATTAGTGCCTACGTTACATGAGATAATAGGTTGGAAAGGTGCTTTGTAATCTGCAGGCAAAAAGCAGTTGTAAGGTTTCATTCTTTCCCCTTTTAAATAAGGGAACATTAGTAGCACTTTTGCCATTTGTAAATGACAGTTAATTCCCTATTTGTCGTAAATTCTCGGTTATACTGTGCAATAGGTAGAGAGAGTAACGAGGTGATGTTTTTATCAGATATATTATCTGCCAGCCATTCTTTCACACTGTTTACATTGTGCATTTATAGAACACCTGCTCATTGTTTCAGAGATATATCCCTAGTGTTCAGCCAGCAATTATGCCCACCTGACCTACCTTCAGATGGCTTGAAATGGTTTACTACAGTCTGCATCATGATGTTTGAGACCCCGGGGTTCTCTATCCGATCTTAAATTCTATTTTCTTTTCTCTTCTAGATTATCAGTTGTGTTTTCCATCAAATGCTCAATGTAATATTAATGTTAGAAGTTGGTGAAGTTTCCCATCGTGCCCCCCTTCCTATTACCTCCCAAGTCATCAATCGTAGAAACCAGGCGGTCCAGTTTATCAGGTGAAGCACACAATTGTGAATTTTTGCTCTGTCAGTCTCTCTCAGTACTCTGGGCCCTGCGGTCACTAAGGTTTCTGATACCCATAGAGTTAAAATTTCTGGCCTGATGGTGGTTTGGGGAGTCAAAACCAAACACTTTGCAGCTAATGTGCTTTCTGTGTCTGGGTCTCTGTTGGTAGGCTCCCAGCTGGGGCGCTGTTTAGAAATAGGAATCTGCAGAGCACAGGCCAGAGCCAGCCTGCAGCTTGTTTGCACTTAGTCTGTGTGTCGGTCTCAGAGAGAGGACGGCGGCCTCTCCTCCTTTCCCGTGTCTGCTTCTCTGCAGCCATTCTGTCTCTTTCTCTTTTCTGTTGCTCTCTACTCTGCAGCTCTTTGCTTTTGTTCTTTGCCACTTTTTCCTTGTTTCTTTGCACTTTTCTGTTCCTTTCCCTCTACAGAAATTACTTGAATGAAAGGATTGAGTTGCTTTTTACCTCTGTAGCAATAGTCGTTAGACCAGTTTTCCCCTCATGGGTCACTCAGCTTCGTGTAAAAACTCTCATGCCTTAGCTTCATTGGCAAGGGTGTGTTTGCTGCATCACTGGCTTTTCTTTCCCTCTTTCACTAACTTTTGGCATGCAGCATGGAGGTGGTGCCGTGACGTGCTGTGTACATGCAAGTGTGCGCATGCCTTGGGTGTGCACATATGCAGTTTGGTTGGAGACATGGGGTGTGGATGATGTCATCTTGTGACTGAGCAAATGTCTCTCCATTAAGAACTTTTGAAAACATTAACTAAAATGTTTTAAGTGAAAACACTGTCATTTTGTTTCTTCCATGAGAGTTTCCCTTACGCCAATCACAATAGTGTTCATGTAATGTGACAGGTAAACAGCACTAAAAATGGATCAAATCTGGGCCATTTAGAAATTTCTTCTTGAGGCTGGGCACGGTAGCTCATGCTTGTAATCATGGCAGTTTGGGAGGCCAAGATGGGCAAATCACCTGAGATCAGGAGTACAAGACCAGTTGGCCAACATTGTGAAGCCCCGTCTCTACTAAAAATACAAAAATTAGCCGAGTGTGATGGCGTGCACCTGTAATCCCAGCAACTCAGGAAGCTGAGGCAGGAGAATTGCTTGATCAGGGGGCGGAGGTTGCAGTGAGCTAAGATTGCACCATTGCACTCCAGCCTAGGTGACAAGAGCGAAACTCTGTCTAAAAAAAAAAAGAAAGAAAAAGAAAAATATTTCTTCTTGGGTTAAAGTTGGGAGAAGTAATGTTACTAATATATTTCACTGAGCTTCCGTGAGGTGGTACTGTGTCTTAGTCAATTTTTATATTTATCCCAAAAGGATATATTGTACATCTTAATATAAAATTTAGTAAGTAGTCAGAAGAATTGTATAAAGATGACATTTTTATTCTTTCCTGAAGACTCAGCTACTCTGCAACAGCTCTCAAAATTGCACAGGAATTACTTAACAGTTTTCTACGATGAATTTTGTCTTCACTCTTTATTCTGCTGAAACCACTCTTAGAGTATGAGGGTACAGTATTTTAATAACTAGAATTTCTAAATATAGGCGTAGTGGTTTTTGAGGACAGTCACTAAATGTATTGTGAACAGTGGATATGTTTTCTTTTAAATAGCTCCCTTGTGGATGAATTAAAGGAGAGTATATTCCCAGTCCTCTGTATCTTACTACAGCACATCTGTGCCAAGGTACTGCTTGCCTTAGTAATATTAATAACATAGAAGTATATCACGTGTGAAGGTGTGTGTGAGTGTATGTGTGTGTGTATTTGTTCTTGGGAATGAGTCTACATTGTTACTTAAAGTGGTTTTATTTAATGTTCACTAGATGGTCCCCTAGAGAAAAGTGTTCTATAAAAAAAAAAAAACCAAAAACTTTATTTTGGAGAAATGTTGAACATACACAGAAACAGGGAGAATAGGATGGTGAACCACCACATACCTATCAACTGCCTTCTGCAGTTTTGTGTCACTTAAACCCCTACCCACATCCCCCAACATGCGTATACTGGATTGTGTTTTGAAGCACATTCCATCATACCCTTTCATACGTAATATTTTAATATATATCTCTAAAGGATAAGAATTCTTTAAAAACATAACCATAAGATATTAACACACCTAAAGAAATACACAGTAATTTCTTAATATTATCAAACATCCAGTCAACGTTCAAATTCCCATGATTATCTCTTACATTTTTATAACCATTTAGACAAATAATTCTTAATTTGAACCTCATGAAACCTGGGGATCCAAAAACTCTCTGAAATTATATACTCAATTTGTATGTACATTTTTCTGGGGAGACAGTTCACAGATTTCCTTTAGATTAGTTTACAGGGGTTCTAAAACCTAAAATTTCTTAGCCATTTACCTAACATTTAAAGATCATTGAACTAGTTGTACTCAGTGGTATTCAACTTGTCTTGCAAAATATGTTTCAGTTGTCCTGCAGGTGGATATTGGTTGGTCAGCTTCTATTTTCGTTTTTCAGGTGGTAGATAAATCAGAGTATCGTACTTTTGCAGCCCAGTCCCTAGTCCAGCTGCTCAGTAAACTTCCTTGTGGGGAATATGCTATGTTCATTGCCTGGCTTTACAAATACTCCCGAAGTTCTAAGGTAGGAGATACCTCTGCATAAAACCTTGGGTCCTTGTTAAAGTGTTTTTAAAAGAGTCTCTTTTTCTAGGTCTGAATGAGGAGGGTTCTTTGGTTCTTACTCCTGTCTGATGGCAGTTCTTGTGATCTTGCTTTACCAGATCCCACACCGGGTTTTTACTCTTGATGTTGTCTTAGCCCTGTTAGAACTGCCTGAAAGAGAAGTGGATGACACCCTCTCCTTGGAGCATCAGAAGTTCTTAAAGCATAAGTTCTTGGTGCAGGAAATTATGTTTGATCGTTGCTCAGACAAGGCGCCTACCGTCCGCAGCAAGGCACTGTCCAGCTTTGCGCACTGTCTGGAGCTGACGGTTGCCAGTGCGTCAGAGAGTATCCTGGAGCTCCTGATTAACAGTGAGTATGGTGACTTGGGGAAGGACACTGGTCTTGTGCTCATTGCGGGATAGACTGCAAGGGAATCATTCTTTTCTGTGGCAAAAGTAATATGGTATGATCTGTTTTTACCCTCAAAACCATTTTTAGTATATTTTATTGTCAAATAACTTTTTTTTTTTTTTTTTTTTTTTTTTTTTTTTTTTTTTTTTTGAGACGGCGTTTCGCTCTTGTTACCCAGGCTAGAGTGCAATGGCACGATCTCGGCTCACCGCAGCCTCCGCCTCCTGGGTTCAGGCAATTCTCCTGTCTCAGCCTCCTGAGTAGCTGGGATTACAGGCACGTGCCACCATGCCCAGCTAATTTTTTGTATTTTTAGTAGAGACGGGGTTTCACTATGTTGACCGGGATGGTCTCGATCTCTTGACCTCGTGATCCACCCGCCTCGGCCTCCCAAAGTGCCGGTCAAATAACTTTTAAATAGGCAAGGCTAATACATTTGAAAGGCCTTTTAAATGTATTTGAGATATTCATATTTTAGAGGTGATGTTGGTGGCTGCGTTTACTGTTGCTTTGCATTGGTGGGCATTGCTTGTAATAAAATGAATCTCCATTTCAATGCATACGCAAGGAGAACATTATCAGTTGTCAGCAGTTCAGAATCTGTCTGCCTTGTCTTTCAGCCTAGTTATCTTCATTTTGATTCCTCTGTGGATATTTACTCAGTTTATGCTACTGACTTTCTTCCTTATCTGTCTTCTTATTTTTAGGTCCTGCAATTTCAGGAATAGAGAGTCACCCTGGTACATTACTGAGAAATTCATCAGGTAATGGATCAATACATTTTCTAATATTGAATGATCATCTTTTAAAAACTTGCTGAATATTTAAAATGTTTTTCCTTCCTCCTTATTTACCTACTTTAACATTGTACGTTTTTCGTCAGAGAAGTTGAAATTAATTTTAGTAATAATGTGGTAACTTAGAAGAGTAACATGACCTGCTAATGCTATTAAAAGTATAACACATTTTTAGCTTAATGACTATCCTTTTTTTTTTTTTTTAAGCTTTTTCCTATCTAAGGCAGACATCTAACCGTTGTGAACCCTCAGGGGAGATGAACATAGACAGCAGTGGTGAAACAGTTGGCCCTGGAGGTATGTCACACTTTTTCACTGTCAGATCGGTAATGCTCTTGGATTTCAGACAACTGTAAGTAGAGGCTAAAACCTTGGATTTTTTTTTTCCTTATTAATTCACCCCTAATAATTGAAACATCTGGCTAGGTGTGGTGACTCATGCCTATCTATAATCCCATCACTTTGGGAGGCTGAGGCCAGTGGATCACTTGAGCCCAGGAGTTGAGGACCAGCCTGGTCAACACAGGAAGATCTTATCTCTAAAAAAAAAAAAATTAAAAATTAGCTGGGTATGGTAGTCTGCACCTGTGGTCTCAGCTACTCAGGAGGCTGAGGTGGGAAGATGGCTTGAGCCCAGGAGTTCCAGGCTGCAGTGAGCTTTGATCACACCAGTGTACTCCAGCCTGGGTGACAGTCTGTTTAAAAATAAAACAAAAAAACACTGCAGGGTCGTGCTTTTCTGTGTCAACTCAGTTACTAAGTAGCTGCTTGATAGAGTATGCCTGTCATTTTCCAGTTATAACATCATCCCATTTTTCCCAGAGGACTGTTAGGAGAGTCTGTGGAAACAACATTTAGGGGAGTGATTTAAAGAGAGAGACAGACAGATAAGAGAGAGAAATAACGTGGGTAGAGGATTAATTACCTAATTAGGTTTATTAATTTCTTCAATAAACATTGATCTGGTCCTTCCCAATGTGTTCCAGGCATTGGAGATGCACAAGTCTGTGAGGCAGAGCTCTATCTCTTAAGGAGCAGTGGAGAGACAGGTGCTTGTGCACAGAAATGTATATACACTTGTACACACACGTATGCGGAACACTGAGATCGGTGCCGACATGCACAGAAAGGGCCCTGAGGATGAGTACTGCTTTTATTATTCAGCCTAGAAGGTCAGCATGGAATTAGCTTTGGGAGGCTAGATATTAGCTTGTATTAATCAAATTCAGAGCAATAACTGCATTTATAATAAACAGGTTTTCTAAATTTTGTAGGAATATGTACTCTGGAAAAATGTTGAATGTTTGTGTTGACTCCAGACTTCCTCTTAAACAGGTTACAGATTTACTGTAGCACAGACTTTTTTCAAGCAACTCAACTAAAGCTGAGTTGATTTAATGATGCTTTAAAATTATAAAAGTTTGGAGATGCAAAGAGCTCATGTTCCCAGCATATTGTTCATAAGCTGAAATGACCTGTATTGTTGTACGTTGAAAAATTTGTATAGTTACTTAATGCCATGCACTTTGCCAAATGCTCTCTTTGCTTTTTTTCAATTAAGATAGAATTCACACACCATAAAATTCACCATTTAAAGTGTATAATTTAGTGGTTTTAGTATAGGTGCAAGATTGTACAGCTTAATTCCAGAGCATTTCATTCGCTGAAAAATAAACCCCATGCCAAGCATGGTTGTATCTTGCTGGATTTGATTTGCTGGTATTTTGTTGAGAATTTTGTTGTCTATATTCATAAGGAATATTGGTCTGTTGTTGTATTAAGCTGTTTTGCATTGCTATAAAGAAATATGTTGCCAGGTGTGGTGGCTCATGCTTGCAATCCAAGCACTTTGGGAGGCCAAGGCCAGTGGATTACTTGAGGTCATGAGTTTGAGACCAGCCTGGCCAACATGGCAAAACATCACCTTTACTAAAAGTATGAAAATTAGCTGCGCATGGTCACGGGCACCTGTAATCCCAGCTACTCAGGAGGCTGAGGCAGGAGAACCACTTGAACCTGGAAGGCAGAGGTTACAGTGAGCTAATATCATGCCACTGCACTCCATCCTGAGCAACAGAGTAAGTCTATCTCAAAAAAAAAAAAAAAAAGATGGAAAAGGAGTAATTTATCAGAAAAGAAGTTTAATTGGCTCATAGTTTTGCAGGCTGTACAATTAGTACAGCACTGGCATCTGTTTCTGGGGAGGCCTCAGGAAGCTTACAATCATGGTAGAAGGCCGGAAGGAAGCAAGCGTTTCACATGGTGGGAGCAGGAGAAAGAGAGAGTCGGGGAGGGTGTCACACACTTTTAAATGCCCAGATGTCAAAAGAACCCACTTTGTATTGCTGTCATGAAGATAGCAGCAAGCTGTTGGGGATAGACCCAGTGATCCAAACACCTCCTACCAGGCCCCACCTTCAGCACTGGGGTTTACAATTCAACCTGAGATTGGGCAGGGACAAATACCCAAAGTATATCAGTTGTTTTCTTGATAGGTCTTTGGTTTTGCTATCAGGGTAATATTAACCTCATAGGAGCTGATAAGTAAATTCTTTTCTATTTTTTTAAAGAGTTCATGAAGGATTGCTGTTCATTTTTTTGCTTTAACATTTGTTAGACTTCTCTATTAAAAGTGTCTTGTCCTTGGGTGGGTGGGTGGGTGTTTGTGGTGTGTGTGTGGTGGGGGGCGGGTAACATGTTTTTGATTTCTAATTTAGTTTTTTTTTTTTTTTTTTTTTTAATTGAGACAGAGTTTTACCCTTGTTGCCCAGGCTGGAGTCCAATGGCACAATCTTGGCTCACTGCAACTTCCGCCTCCCAGTTCAAGCAGTTCTCCAGCCTCAGCCTCCCAAGTAGCTGGGATTACAGGGATGTGCCACCACCCTCGGCTAATTTTTTTGTATTTTTAGTAGAGACAGGGTTTCACCATGTTGGTCAGGCTGGTCTCGAACTCCTGACTACAGGTGATCCACCTACCTTGGCTTCCCAAAGTGCTGGGGTTACAGGCGTGAGCCACTGCGCCTGGCCACTAATTTAGTTTCTTTACTTGTTACAGGTATATTGAGATTTTCTATTTCTGTTTGAGTTTCTGTTTTTCTAGAAATTTGTTTATTTTACCTAGGCTACTTATTTTGGTGGCCTAAAATTGTTCATAGTATTCCTTATACTCCTTTTTATTTATGTAAGGCTAATGATAGTAATGTCCCTTTTTTCTTGATTTTAGCAATTTGAATTTTTTTATTCATCAGTCTAGCTAAAGGTTTATTAGTTTTGTTGATCTTTTCAAGGGACCCTTTTAGTTTTATTGATTTTTCTCTATTGTTTTCCATCTTTCATTTTTTTATGTTGCCTCCTTATATATAAACAGTTCCCAAAGTGTGTTTTGGGAACCCTCAGGGGTTCTTGAAGTAAAAACAAATGCTGTGTTCATTTGCCTTCCATACTCTGATTTTCTCACGAATGTATATTGGAACTTTCCAGTGGTCCCAAGACAGGAAATTGCAACAGATTGCAGGTAGAAACAGAGATGAGAATCCAGCTGGCTTATAATAAGGCAGACATTTAAAAGTTTGCAAGACTCAAAAACAATGCTCTGTGTGTGTGTGTGTGTGTGTGTGTGTGTGTGTGTGTGTGTGTGTATTTGTGTGTTAATGGGGTCTTGCTGCGTTGCCCTTGCTGGACTCAAACTCCTGGGGTCAAGTGATTCTCTGATCTCAATCTCCCCATAGGTGGGATTATAGGTACATTCCACCACATCCAGCCTTTTCAATATTTTTTGTTTATTTGTTTTGGAAAATTAGTTATTTTTATGAAAAAGTACTAATAGTAACATGTCTTGCTATTTTATAATGAATTAGTAAATATTTTTCAATTCTCAGGATAAATTTCTAATTGATATTGAAGGATATAATCTCTTTAGAGTACTGAGTAATTTTTAAGAATAGAAAGAAGCTTCAAGGCTGGACTTCATAGGTCACTCCTATAATTTCAGTGCTTTGGCAGGCCAAAGTGAGAGGATCACTTGAGGGCTAAGAGTTTGAGACCAGTCTGAGCAACATAGCAAGATCCTATCTCTGCAAAAAAATTAAAATATAACGTTAGTCTGGCATGGTGGCTCACGCCTGTAGTCCTAGCCACTTGGGAGGCTGAGGAAAGAGGATTACTTGAGCCCAGGAGTTTGAGATAGCAGTGAGCTATGATTGTGCACTGCACACCACCCTGAGTGGCAGAATGAGACCCCATCTCTTAAAAAGAAATGTCTTCAAGTAGAAAGTTTTAAACCTGTTGTTATATGTTATCTCATTAAATCTTTAAAATAATCCTATGGTTAGATACTCTTATTTGTAGCTGAACGAAATGTAAGAGATAAATAATTCATTCAGAATTTTAGAGGTAGGGGCCAAGACTTAAAACCAGATTTTTTTCATATATTATTTATTGACTTTCCATTATTATAGGTAAAAATTTAAGTTTTTTTTTTCTCCCCAGCCCCCACTGTCCCTCCCCTAGCCCCCCACAACAGACCCCAGTGTGTGATGTTCCCCTACCTGTGCCCATGTTTTCTCATAAAACCAGATTTTTAATATTCCAAAGTTCATAGGTATTATAGTGAATACCTGATTATTCACATTTTCTTCTTTTTCTACACTCTGATTTCTTAGGATTTGAAACAAGCTAATGAGTGAGTCTTTAAGATGAGTGTATTTTTTCAGTATTATACAGTGAAACGTTAGCTGCTGTGTGACCCTTCTCTGTCTGTGATAACTCTTTGGTATTCCCTCTGCAGAAAGATGTGTCATGGCAATGCTGAGAAGGAGGATCAGGGATGAGAAGACCAACGTTAGGAAGTCTGCGGTGCAGGTGCGCGTTTTCTCTGCACATTTCTTTTTAAGCACTGAACACTTGGAAATGCAAAGGAATATATTTTAAACTCCTAGGCCATATTCGTTACTTAATTTGCTTTTCACTGAACTGTTAGTTGACCTTGATCCTGTATATATGAATCATAGGTGAATTGGAAGATTATTTTTAAGCTTTCCTACAGGGTTTCTGATTTTTTAAGAAACACAAATTTATATCCTTTATTTTGTTTGGAATAGGGATTCTTAACTTAGGGATCATAGGTGGATTTTAATAGGTTCATAAAATTGTTTGTAAATATTTGTTTATATCAAATTTGTTTTTCTCTGAGAGAGGCCTTGGCAAATTGCATTCTGAAAAATGGGATGTTATGAGGAGGAAGGTTGAATCCATAACCCCAAAATGTTAAGAACCACAAACTTAAAGGAAATGTTCCTTTGTTAACAGTTTCTGTTTCTGCATTGATGCTATGCAGTCATCACTTTGTGTTGCATATATGCTTTCTAGGTGTTAGTGAGTATCTTGAAACACTGTGATGTCTCGGGCATGAAGGAAGACCTGTCGATTCTGTCGGACCGGTGTCGGGACCCTGCAGTGTCTGTCCGGAAGCAGGCCCTCCAGTCTCTTACGGAACTCCTTACGGTGAGAGACAGGTCATTCTAGATGTAATGCATGGTATTTTACATTAAAAGTAATTCCACGCAATAATTAGCTGCTGCTAAATGTTAAGTTGACCTTTAAAACTCTGCTCAGTCCACTGTAGAAATCTACAGCGTAAGGGAGGAGGTATCTCTCAATTATGTATGATAGACTATGCTTCCTATTAAATATAATTAGGAATGAATGCTAGAGAATGCCAATTGTTAGCCCTTTCTTCACTTTATTATTATTATTATTATTATTATTATTATTATTATTATTTGAGACAGAGTCTTCTCTGTTGCTCAGGCTGGAGTGCAGTGGCACAATCTCAACTCACTGCAACTTCCACCTCTCAGGTTCAAGCAACTCTCGTGCCTCAGCCTCCCGAGTAGCTAAGATTACAGGCGTGCACTGCCATGCCTCGCTAATTTTTGTATTTTTAGTAGAGATGGGGTTTCACTATATTGACCAGGCTGGTCTTGAACTCCTGACCTCAGGTGATCTGTCTGCCTCTCAAAGAGTTGGAATTACGGGCATGAGCCATCACGCCCGGCCCTTTTCTTCACTTTAAATCTCACACAGAAAAATAAAATTTAAAATTGATTTGGTTAAGCTAGAGACCTAGATTAAATTTAGTCAATTACGCCATAGATAGATCATATTGCCTGCCAAAAGAGCAGATTCACAGGTACTATATATCATTTACTTCTGTCAACCCGTTAGCCTTTTAGTTGAAGAATTTCAAAAGCATGTTTATTTCATGATAGAAGGCATTAAGCAATGCATATTTTGACTTTCTGTCAGCATCTGTTCTAATTGCTCTTTGGGATAAATATTTATTATTAGATCTTGATTTTTAATGACCCAAAAAGTACTGATTTACTCCCACTAGACAAATAATGACTTGAATGTATGAGTTTAAAATTTTGGTTTGCTCTGATTTACATTAAGCTGGCTTTGCTTTTGTATATTTTTTTGAATGTTGATTTTTTTTTTTTTTTGACTCCGTGGTCTATTTGCAGTTGAATGTGTGATTATTTTTAACATCTCAAAATGTTGATCATAACTTTTCTGACTTGTATTTAGACCTTCTCATGTCATAATCTTTCAATCCTAAGGCTCAACCTAGATGTGTGCAGATCCAGAAAGCCTGGCTGCAGGGGGTGGTGCCGGTGGTGATGGACTGCGAGAACACTGTGCAGGAGAAGGCCCTGGAGTGCCTGGACCAGCTGCTGCTGCAGAACATCCAGCATCACCGTCAGTTTCACAGTGGGGACGACAGCCAGGTGCTCGTCTGGGCACTTCTTACTCTTCTCACCACAGAAAGCCAGGAACTGAGGTAGGTTAACTGCATGACCTGTGTTCCCTATAGAATAAGGCTGTGAGATTTTGTATGAATAAATTTCTCCTACTGGTCCTTGAAAAATCAGCTCTCTAGATTACTTAGTATAAGTAAAGATGCAATATTGGTTTCTTTTTTCTTGGCTTACTTGAAATCTCTTAGATATTTGCATCAACTATGTTTGTGACACCTTTCTGGTCACTACCTTTGCCTCTGTCTGACTGCTTTCCAGTTTCAGATTGGTATCTTAATATGTAATAGGCAACACTGATGGAAATACATATTAATATTACTTTTCCCCAGTACTGCTTATCATGAAGAATGACTTCGTAGCTCTGGCAAGTTAAACTATTTCTAACAATTTATTGGATTAGTTGACTACTAACACTGCAGGCTTTTTCCCCTTTGATAAACATTTATTGAACATACACTGTGCAGTGAATATCGTGTTTAGGAGTTAGGACCTGTGATGGAGGAATCATCCTGCAGTAGAAAGAAAGGTATCAAAAAATACCATTCTAGGGCCGGGCACAGTGGCTCAAGCCTGTAATCCCAGCACTTTGGGAGGCCGAGGTGGGTGGATCACGAGGTCGAGAGTTCGAGACCATCCTGGTCGACATGGTGAAACCCCGTCTCTACTAAAAATACAAAAAATCAGCTGGGCATGGTGGCGTGTGCCTGTAATCCCAGCTACTCAGGAGGCTGAGGCAGGAGAATTGCCTGAACCCAGGAGGCGGAGGTTGCGGTGAGCCAAGATCGCGCCATTGCACTCCAGCCTGGGTAACAAGAGCGAAACTCCGTCTCAACAACAACAACAACAAAAAATACCATTCTATGGACTTGGCAAAAATCACTTCCTCTTTGTGAGCCTTAGTTAGTTTTCTGACTTGTAAGAGCGGCATTTGTGCAACGGCTGTTGTACTCCAGGATCTCTCATGTCTCTTTTGGTATTACAACTTTATGCCTGAAAAATGTGTACCTTCGATAAAGGCTTTCTCAGTGTAGGTTGAGCATCTATAATCCAAAATCCAAACATACTCTGGAATCTGAAACTTTTTAAATGTCAGCATGATGCCACAAGTGGAAAATCTCACACCTGACGTCACAAGTTGGGTTACAGTCAAAATGCAGGCTCAACGGCCAGGTGTGGTGGCTCACACCCATAATCCCAGCACTTTGGGAGGCCGAGGTGGGGCGGATCACGAGGTCAGGAGGTCAAGACATCCTGGCCAACACGGTGAAACTCTGTCTCTACTAAAAATACAAAAATTACCTGGGCGTGGTGGCGCATACCTGTAGTCTCAGCTACTTGGGAGGCGGAGGCAGGAGAATCGCTTGAACTCAGGAGGCGGTGGTTGCAGTGAGCCAAGATCGCACCACTACACTCTAGCCTGGCAGCAGAGTTAGAATCTGTATCCAAAAAAAAAAAAAAAAAATGCAGTTCACAATATACAGTCTGTTCAGCCTCCTGAAGCGAAAAATAAAATTGCCTTCAGGCTGTGCATCTAAGGTGTACGTGAGGCTTTGGTCCCATCCACGTGATACCTCATTAAGTATGTGGAAATATTCCAAAATCCAAAACACCTCTGGTCCTAGGCATTTCAGATAAGTGATATTCAACCTGTCCCCACTCTATGCTTTGCTGAGATTTCTAGAAGGGAGAGGTTTAGCCAATAATAGAGTCCACTGTTTTTTCACTTTTCTTAGAGATACCTCCTTATACACCCTCAATATATTAATACATGGTAATGTAATGAACGGTAGTACTCATTCTTTGCAAAAAAGCAGGAGAGGCCTTCCACAGCTCCTGAGAAGCTGGTGGGAGGTTTTAAAATTTACTTTCCTTTTATAAAAACTTTGTATTGAAGTATAGGGTATCTAGAAAAGTACACAAACCACAAGGTCATTAAGTATCACAAAGAAAGTATACCTGTGTAACCACCACGCAGGTCAAGAATGAGAGCCTGCCAGGCCCAAGAAGCCCAGCCACGCCCTCCCAAGCAGCGTCACTCCCTCCTTCAAGATGTAACTGCACCTGTGGTTTTAATACCATGTACCACTTTTCTCTTTTCTTGAACTCTATATAAATAAAATTATTTGGTACATATGCTGTTGTGTGTATGGCTCCTTTCATTCAGTGTAATTAAGATCCATTCGTGTTACTGTGTGGGCGGTTCATTGATTTTCATTGCTGTACACACACAAACATACATATTTATTACTAAACCACTATTTATTGATTCTACCGATGATAGATAACTGAGTTGTATCCAGTTTTGACTGCGTTGTCTAACGCTGCAATGAATATTTCTATACATCTCTTTTGGTTCACATGTGCACGCACAAATGTTTTAATTCACCTTTAGTAGGTATTGCTAGATGGTTTTCCACTGCAGTTGTAGCAGTTTACATTTACAACAGCATTATATGAGAGTTCCAGTTGTTCCATATCTTAGCTAGAATTTTATATTACCTTTTTCTTTCCAACTATTTTGGTGAATCAATAGTGCTATTTCATTGTGACTTTAATTTACACTACCATGTTGACTAATGAGACTGAGCCTTTTTCACACTTAGATTAGCATTTGAATACTCACATTGTAAATTACCTGTTTGGATCCCTTGTCCTGATTTTAATAGGGTTGTCACCGTCTTGTTGATCTGCAAGTGTTGGTTCCATACCATGTGTGCAGGCCATTGCTCTGCGGACTGCCAACGCCACTTCTGACTCTGGTTTGCCTTTTTACCCTCCTAATGATAATGTTGTCTTTTGATAAATTCACTTTGACCGTGGTTTTCTTAATGATTAATGTATCTTTTAAGAATTCTTTTCCTGTGCATTATAGGATATTTAGCCAAAAAAAAAAAAAAAAAAGGAAAAAGAAAGAAATCTTTCGCTACCACAGGGTTGTATAGGCATTCTCCTATGTAATCTAGAAACTTGCGTGATGTTTTCCTTTTCACTGTTAGATATTTCCCTTATCCACCATTGATTTTTGTGTGCCCTATTAGGGAAGGATCAAGTTTGATGTTTTTCTAAATAGATATCCAGTTAATGTAGAAATATTAATTGAAAAGATTATGCTTTATTCACTGCTTTGCAGTGCCATCTTTAGGAAAAATCAGGGGTTCGTGATTCTGTTTCAGAATTGTCTGGTCTTTTACTCCACTAGCATATGTGCTCTCCCTGTGTCAGTAACACCCTGATTAATTATTTTGGGAAGCAGGTCTCATGTTCCTCTCCTCTTGCCCCTGTGCAGTTCTTCAGTGTTACCTTATTTATGCTTGGCCTTTGTTATTTGTATGTAACCCGCTGTGGAATTCATTCATTGAGTTATTATTATTGCATTTTTCATTTATAAACTTTTTATTTTCTTCATTAGTTTCTAGATCTTTGCTGAAATTATTATTATTATTATTATTTTGTCGTTTGTTTTCTTGAACCTAGTAAGTGTAGTTACTTGAAAGTCTGTACATCTGGTAAGTCCTCAGGACCAGTGAGTCACTTTCGCTTTATTTATTTTATTTCTCTTTATTATTATAATGTTGTCTTGTCTCTTCATATGCCATTGCATGCCAAAAATTGGGGAGGTGGTTTAACGTTCTGGGTAATGTCTTCTAGAGAGGGTTTATATCTGCATCTGGCAGGTAGTTAGATTAAGGGCAGTTTTACATCAGATCACTGTAATCCAGCTGAAGACAGGGAAAATATGGACAAGGGCAGCAATGATTGTGTAGATACTCATGCCCTTAGAGCATAACCCCCAAGGCCACTGTGGGGTATTTACCAGGCATGCTCTTCCAGCAGGCCCTGAGCATCACTGTTTCTCCTTTTTGCCCCATGAATATATCTCAATCTCTGTTTATCATTGTGTCTGCCCAAATTGGCAAACACTTGAAGACAAGTGGCCCAGAACTCATGTCTTGTACATTTTCTGAAATTACTCTTCACTTTTGGTTGATTTCATGGAAACTCTTCTTATTTTCTAGTGTTGCTTAAAATTTTATCTTATTTTTGGTATTTGTTTATTTCAAAGGGCTTTAAGGAGACTCTAAAACAAAGAAACATGGGCTCTTATTGAAACCAGGAGTCAGGTTGTTATGAAACTGCTTAAGGAGATTATAAAATGAGTAAAGAAAAATGCAAGTGTGCATTGAAGGCTTTAGCAGAGGAAGACAGCCATGTCAACAAGACTTAAAACGTGTAGAGAGGTAGAGAAAATGATTCAAATGGAAATAGGGAGTGAGGATTTCAAGTGAAATGGAGTAGTCCACAAATGTGTCAAAAACATTTCAAAAAACTTGTTTACATAATTCCCATCAAGTTAGAATCTTAGACGCAACCAGATTATTCAACAGATAGGGTAAAAAAGCCATATTGAGACTAAGAGAAAACTGAGGGGTTTTATTGCCACTACCTGTCCGCTAAGGGGCCGTCTGTGAAGGATGTACTACAGGCCAAGGCTCTAATACCAGCACTCTGACAGGCTGCTTAAGCCTGGAGAACTGCTTAAGGCCAGGAGTTTGAGATCATCCCTGGCAATGTGGTGAGACCTTGTCTCTACAAAAAAAAAAAAAAAAAAAAAATAGCTCGTTGTGGTATTTTTCAAGGAGGATTTCTTGACCCCAGAAGGTAAAGGCTACGGTGAGCCGTGATCACACCTCTGCACTGCATCCTGGGTGACAGAGCAAGACCTCATCTCAAAAAATGAAAATAAAGGAAATACTTCAGAAGATTGGAAACTGAATTCAGAAAGGAAGAATGGAATATAAAAAGGAAAGGTTGCTAAGAAATTGATAAACACATAGATAAATCTAAATTAAAATTAAAAATCAGTCACTCAATGACAATCTGGATGATGAAATATAAAAAGTATGTAGGATGAGCTGGAGGGTGCATTTACTTGCATTTCTGGCATTGGATAGGAGGAGACTAGAGATGCTGATTGGCATTAGACTCGAGTCAGCTACAGGCAGCCAGGGGTAGTGGTATGTAACTTCAGAGCCAGTAGAGCAGAAGTAACACTGACGAACGCTCAGTGCGAGAAAAGGCAGAACGGAAGTGAGGTTAAAAAATGAGAAGGAAATAAAAAGCATGGTAAATCAAAATCGTAAAGAGGCAAATTAATCCAAACAGATCAGTAATCTCAATAAATGTCAGTTTCTTACATTTAACAGTTAACAGACAAACCCTTTGGATATAAAAACCAAAATCCAACTACATGTTGTTTATAAGAGTTTATAAGAGCCACACCTAAAATAAAATGATCAGAAATGCTGAAAGTAAGAAAAAGGTTACTAGGAGAATAATGCAGAAAGAAGGCTGTATTAATTTAGAGGCAAATAGAATTTAACGGAAAATGTCATCAGCTGTAAAGAAAGTTACTTACAAGGATAAAGGAATTATATCAGGAAGAGGTATATGTCCCCAAGTGATACATATAAAACCCCATGCCCATCAGAAGCACACATTTCTAAGCTTATGTGAACCATTTATAAAAACTGATTATGTACTATTTCATAGAGCCAGTCTTAAATATCAGCAAATCTGTATTAATAGGATAATGTTCTCTGAGCATTGTATGATAACTAGTAGAGGAAAACCTCAAAAACAGCATTTGAAGAGTTAAAAAAAGATACTTCGCAATAACTGCAAGGTCAAAGACTGGTGAATTGGAAGATTTTGGAGCTGAATACATACCAAAACTTGTAGAGTGCATTTAATGGAGTACTTAGAAGGAAATGTGTATTAAAAAATGAAAAGGACTGAACACAGGTGACCTAAAGGTTCAGTTTAAGAAGTTAGAAAAAGTCATTGAAGAAATTTGAGGAAAAGAAATGCCAAAATTAAGGCTAGAAATTTAAAGACTGAGAAGGAAAAACCGAGTCTTCCTAAAGCCTAATGGAAAAGATAAACTTCTGGCTAGATATGATAAGAAAAAGGTACAAATAATGATGAAATGGATGGTAGAAATACAAACATCTTATTCAGTATACATTCAAAAGCAGATTGTTCAGAATGGATTAGTGTTTTTTTAAAGGGCATGGTTCTATATAGGTATTTTTTTGGTCTAAAGTTTTAATTGATAGAGCTGCTATGAATTTGCTAGGGGCACCATAACAAAATGCCACAGACTAGGTAGCTTAAACAACAGAAATTTATTCTCTCACAGTTGTGGAGGGTAGAAATTTGAGATCAAGGTGCCAGGAGAGTTGCTTTCTCCTGAGACCTCTCTCCTTGGCCTGCTGACTGCCGCCTTCTTGAGATGTGGAGAACACATGTCAGGCAGGTTGGTGACAGGAAGTGCTGGAGATGGAAGCTCAGCTTTGGACTTGGAATGCTTTATCACAGCTCAGTTGGGAGCTCTTGGTAATGCATGAGGTCACCCAGAGTTAGGTTGGAGATAAGAAGGCTGAGAATAGAGCTTTTCAAATCAGCAGTGAGTTATTGGAAGACAGGAATTAGTTAAAAGAGACCCAGCTGGTGGACCAGAGTCTCAGGACAAAAGGAGTCAGTAACCTCTGGTGGAGGCCGTGGAGATGGGCCTGAAGCATGGCCCTTGGATTTGATACTAAGATAGAGGTTAGTATGTTGCAAGTTCAGAGAATTTCCCCCCCTTCTGTTGACTACATATAATAAACATCACTTAATACTTCATATAACTATTTTTAAATGAATTTCAAAATATTTGTTCATTGCTTGTATCTTGTGGTATTGGGACATAAATCAGGCATAAATCATGTTGTAAGCTAACTACAGTAAGACTGGACATCTGTGGATGGATTTTTAATTAGTAGCTCATATATTAACAAAACTTCATTTATATGCATATGCTTATTATGCTATATAGATGTGTTTGTTTTGTTATAGTTGCCTTGTTCTGTATGCTTTGAGAATTTCCGTTTGCAAAAAAAATTTAGGCCGGCCGTGGTGGCTCATGCTTGTAATTTCAGCACTTTGGGAGACCAAGGAGGGCAGATCACAAGGTCAGGAGATAGAGACCAACCTGGCAATGGTGAAACCCTGTCTCTACTAAAAATACAAAAATTTATCTGGGCATGGTGGCATGTACCTGTAGTCCCAGGTACTCGGGAGGCTAACGCAGGGGAATTGCTTGAACCTGGGAGATGGAGGTTGCAGTGATCTGAGATCGTACCACTGCACTGCAGCCTGGTAACAGATTAAGATTTCATCTCAAAAAAAAAAAAATTTAATGAGGAAGTCTTGATGTTTGGGTGTGTATATGTATGTGTATGCATTTTCCCAGAGGTCTAAGAAAAATTAATCAGGGGAAGAAGTGTATTTTTCTCTTCATTTAAATATATAATATTGGCATTATCTCATGAGTCATTCAGTGCCATGGGAAGAGGGAAAATAAGAGATGCTTTTAAAACAACAGTAATGGCCAGGCACGGTGACTCACGCCTATAATCGTACTACTTTGGAAGGCCAAGGCAGGAGGATTGCTTGAGCCCAAGAGTTCAAGACCAGTCTAGGCAACATAGTGAGACCCTGTCTCTACAAAAAAAGAAAAGAAAAGAAAAATTAGCCAAGTGTGGTGAGCATGTCTGTAGTCTCAGCTACTCTGGAAGCTGAGAGAGGAGGATTGATGAACCCAGCAGGCGGAGGCTACAGAGAGCTGTGACCATACCACTATGATCCAGCCTGGGTGACAGAGTGAGACTCTGACTCAAAAACTAAAAAAAATAAAGCAACACTGATATAACACAAACACTTTAGTACATCAGAAGCATTGTTTTTTATTTTGAAAAGGTTTGCAATATCTATTTCTGAGTGGTATTGACCTATTGCATATTTCAGCTGATTTATTATCACCGTATTTGTTAGGTTGTCATTTACAATCCTTCCATTGACACAAAAGGACAGTGTTCCTAATTTTGTCACTATAACTGTGTAAACTCTGGGTGTGTCTGTAACTGACCCCATGCAGTTGCGTAGAAACTTTGGAGGGGAGGAGGATAAGAAGAGTCTCAAATGAATTGTGAAATTTTATTCTTTGGTTGAACAATATTTTATGAGGGGAAAAATGAATATAACTGATTACAGAATAATAAAAATGTAAAGGCTACCTAGTTTGGTATCAGACGCGCCACTAATTAGGAATGTCTGTGTGAAAGTTTCATGTGCCACAGGAGTCCTGGAGCCGCAGAAGTTGATACGTTTTCAGTGAGGCACTGATTGAACAGTTTTATATATTTACAGTTGCAATCCTGCTTTTCTATCTTTTCTTTCCAGCCGATATTTAAATAAGGCCTTTCATATCTGGTCCAAGAGAGGAAAGTTCTCATCCACTTTTATAAACAATATAATATCTCACACTGGCATGGAACATTCGGCACCTGCCTGGATGCTGCTCTCCAAGATTGCTGGCTCCTCACCCAGTCTGGACTATGGCAGAATAATACAGTCCTGGGAGAAAATCAGGAGGTTTGTATCTTCTAATGTCACCACTGATGGACACTGAAGAGCTTTAGAAACAAAGCCCGTGGCTTAAGGAAGTGGGCTTTTTCACAGCTGTTCATATACAGAGACCTTCTCTTTAAAACTTGGTATAAAAACAAGCATGAAAAATATGAATCACGTTTAGCCCATTTCCCCTTTGTCCGGGTACATTAAGTGCCCTGTTGTTCCCACAGCTTGACTCCTAAGCCATGCTACCTACCCTACTTCCTCCGATGTTAATAATCCAGAAGAAACGCCTTTGTTGGCAACAGTGTTTAACTTGCTTTTCCCTTGGTGTTTCTCCTGCCCTTTGTCTAGTCAGCAGAATCCCAATTCAAACACCTTAGGACATATTCTTTGTGTGATTGGGCATATTGCAAAGCATCTTCCTAAGAGCATCCGGGACAAAGTGACTGGTGAGTGTCTGCTGGAGAATCTTTCTTGAAAATGCATTGCTGTTCATTTCAGATACGTATCTACATATATGTGTGTGTGTGTGTGTGTATAATATATACACATAATGTACACATACATACGTACATATATGAAAAATATATTTTTATATCTCTGTATATTTTTATATATATATATATTTTAAGCAGTTGACCTTCAGGGGTTTTGACTTCCTTCACAGATGCCGTCAGGAGTAAGCTGAACGCATTTCAGTGGCCTCTAGAGGTGATCAGTGCAGCCGTGGACGCTCTGCAGAGGCTTTGTAGCGCATCTGCAGAGACACCAGCAGAGGTGCAGGTATGGCCAGACTTCCCTGACCTGTTTCTGACTTATTCGTGCTTAGGCATGTTACTGGATGTGTTTCGAAGTTTGAGGAGTGTTCACTATAAATAAGAGGACCTGTAAGGATGTCCCAGCAGCTATTGCCACAGCAAGGCAAGGTTTGCATAACTAGCGTTGACATTTCCCAAGATTTGGCTGCTGAAGAGACATGGCTCCCTTAGGTGGTCACCATCTTGATTGCAGGTACAAGCGTCTTTCGTGAAGGCAGGCCTGTTGATTGTCTTTCATTTCCTGGTGAGAATTCTGCAAAGTTATCTACTTCCACAGTCATTCCAAGAACTCTTATAGTCGATTTTCCACTTAAGCAGAAGTGCCCTCCAGACCAAGTTTCTGACCTTTTGATAAGTCATAATCTTGGCCATGCCTGTCCTCTTACTATAAGGTTATACTAATCAAGTATCTCTTGGTATCATGTCCCCAAAGTTGCCTACGGCCCACAGCTAATGTTTTTATATATTCATAAGCAGAAATCCAAATCAGTGATTTGTGAGGCAGAGAATTACTTCGACTCCTTAAAAGGTGTGCATATCAGTAACTCTTAAGAAATCATTTTATTACCATGTATTTATTCTGTTTTTGTCATGAGATACACTGTTACTACTAATCATAATGAAAAAAGTTAGGGCTGGGGTTATTAATGACTATAGAAATCAAAAATTAAATAATTGCTGGAATATATTTAAGTTTTTCAAAATTAAAAAAAAAAAAAAAAAGATGGCTTCAGCTGATCTCCCCAACTACCTTCCTATGCCTCCTTTTCTTGACCAAGTTCCTTAAAGAAGGTCCTTCCTTAATACGTTACATTTTCTACTTCTAACAGATCGATTAAAACAATGATTGTAACTTTTTTGCTTGGGACTTAAGACTGTTGACCTATTTCTTATGAAATGGTGTCTGGTGTTTTACTGGTTATCTATCTTTAAGCCCTTTTATTGGTGAAAGGGATACTTGCATTACGTGATTTTTCTAATCCTTTATCTCAAGACCCATGAAATTATATTAAAAACTTTTATTTTTATTTTTGAGATGGAGTCTTGCTCTGTTGCCCAGGCTGGAGTACAGTAGGGCAATCTAAGCTCACTGCAACCTCCGCCTCCTGGTTTCAAGCAATTCTTGTGCCTCAGCCTTCTGAGTAGCTGGGATTACAGGCACATGCCATCACGCCCAGCTAATTTTTATATTTTTAGTAGAGACAGTCTTTCACCATGTTGGCCAGACTGGTCTCAAACTCCCGATCTCACGTGATCTGCCCAGTTCAGCCTCCAGAAGTGCTGGGATCACAGGCCTGGTAAGACTAAGGAAAGAGTGATCAGGGAGGAATTTACATAATAGACTTTGAAATTGCAAGCCTGCCGGGCTCAATGGTACACAACTTAGTATTGGCAGAGCTTGGACTAGGACTAAGGCCTCTGACATTTTCCTAATTTTCTTTTCACCAGCACTGGGTGGAAAAAGAATCATGTGTACAGTGTGCAGTCAGGGCCTAGGAAGTCATCCGCCACTTGCTGCTGGCCAGGGCCATTAGGACGGTGGTTGCATTGTCATGAGAGCCTGTGAGGAAGGCAAGGAACTATCTTCACGTTAGACACTGAGAGCTGGAAACGGGTGAGGCTTACTACTACGTTAGCAAAAACCACCACAGTTTTAATCTGTGGTCTTTGGGCATTTTTATTATCTGTTTTGTGGCTGTCATTAAAAAATTGATGAGATCTTGGACTGTATTAGTAAAAATAGTGTCTAGAATAAGAGGAGCAGTGGTCTTGTTCTTCGTCCTGGCTAAATCCAAGTTGACACATTCTATAATTCACTCAGTGACAAATTTACAAAGAAATGTTGATGAAATTGAATGTAACTAGAGGAGAGCAGTTAAATAAGGGCATCACAAAGCAAGTTATGTAAGGAACTGCAGAAGGGCCTGGAGTCTTTAGCATGGAGAAGGGAAGCCTTGGGGAGGGTAGGCTGCCTAGCTAAATTCAGATTTATGAAGGACTTTCAAATAAAAGAATTGAATTCATTTGGTATTTCCACACAACCCATCTGGACCAATGAATGGAAATTATAAGTTTTGGCAAACTGAAGAAAAAACTTACTGAGGTCTGCCTAAAGTGGAGGGGCTTGCTCCAGAGCATGTCCCTTGTTACTGGAGGTGTTCAGGAAAAGCTGCGTAAGAACTTGGAACAAACTGCCGTGTGGAGAGCATGCCAGGATTGGGTGGCCTTGTCAGCTTTCCCAGATTCTGTGATATTGAAACTTACTAGTCATACTACCCAAGTTCTGTCCTCATCGAGATCAGGCATAAGGATCGCAGAAACTCTTTGGGCCAATGTTGTGGTGGTCCAGGTTGTGCAATCTACTAAAAATTTAAGCGCAATAGTTCTTTTAAAAGTAATAGGCCGGGCGCGGTGGCTCAAGCCTGTAATCCCAGCACTTTGGGAGGCCGAGGGGGGTGGATCACGAGATCAAGAGATCGAGACCATCCTGGTCAACATGGTGAAACCCCGTCTCTACTAAAAATACTAAAAATTAGCTGGGCGTGGTGGCGCGTGCCTGTAATCCCAGGTACTCAGGAGGCTGAGGCAGGAGAATTGCCTGAACCCAGGAGGCGGAGGTTGCGGTGAGCCAAGATCGCGCCATTGCACTCCAGCCTGGGCAGCAAGAGCGAAACTCCGTCTCAAAAAAAAAAAAAAAAAAAAAAGTAATAAAGGCAATAGTTTCAAGACACATTAGGGCAAGTCAGACTAAAAACATTGCTCGTAGTGATGGCTTGCCAGGCTGTAGTACTGCTAGGCACTGGATGATGGTTAACATAGGTCCCTTCCTAAGGCACTGCAGAGGAGAAGGGGAGGTGTATGTCCATCAGCAGATGATTTCAACATAATGTAATGATTCCTAAAATAAAAGTCAGCATCAGGTAACATGGATGCAATGGGTGGAAGCACTTAGCTCAACCTAAGTATTCTGGAGTGACTTCCTACAGAAAATGTGGTCCAAGCATTCTAGAACATGATTGGGAGCTCTCTCATTCCCTTGACATAGAGGAACAGTCTGATGTGCACTAGAGGTGACCCCTTGAAGTTACTGTCATCAGTAAGAGACATGGAAACCTTGTCCTTAATGAATAAATTTCAGAAGAATAGCAGCTCTTTTTATTTTATGTCTTTAAAAACATGTTTATCACATGTAGTTAATTCATCCCCTGCATAGGCTGACAAAACTACAGTTATTTCTGTATTTTTGGAGGAGCACTACTGTTACAGATCTCTGATAAATTTTACTGCATGAGGTCTTTGTAAATATTTGGCCTTTTGCCGTTATAGGGCAAATGTAGGAAGAAAGATGATATATATATACCATTCTTTATAAATTTCACTTAGCGGGTACTCATGGCTGGATTGCTCAGTGCATGGCATTGTGGTTTTGGACAAACTGTGGGAAAGAGGAAAGATAGAAAGCACCCCTGCAGCCTATCCATTTGAAGATCAGAGAGTTTCTTCTGAGAACATGTTGTTTCATGGGCAGTCTGGGAGATGTGCGGGGCGCTTCAGAGATAAATTTGACTTGCCATAGGAATTGCTGAAGCAGGTGTGTGGGGATGTACTCTCCACCTGTGAGCACCGCCTCTCCAACATCGTTCTGAAGGAGGATGGAACAGGGAATATGGATGAAGACCTGTTGGTAAGCAGCTGCTCTTCCTAACCTTCTTTCCTCTTCCATTTTATCAGTGAGGTTTTATTAAAGATGACTTTGTAATGTGCACTTTAAATGCTATTTTAAAAAGGGCTGTCTTAGCCCTTTTTAGAAGATACTTTTAAATTGATAACCTATTAATTTTTTTCTTACATACTTGTTATCGGGGATTGGGGGGTACTCAGTGGTACACATTAATTCAGTTAAATCTTATGAGAAGCCTGATTCCAGTAGGGAAAACACAATATGTGTTGTTAGGTTGGTATAGTCAAGCTTAGAAATAATAAGGTAAGAAATAATAATGTGAGTATACTCTTGGTTTGTGTGTTTGCTCTTTAACATGTCTTCCGGGCTATTTGAACATCAGACAGTAGAACTGGGGAATAGTGCTGAGTATTGCAAAGTAATGACTGCAATAAAATGAGATATTTGACAATTCAAAACACAGTTGACCTTGGAGCCCCAGGATTGTTTTCCATGGCACCCCTGCTTTAGAAACTGTCCACAACGCAAGAGATTCCTTTAAGCCAGGACAAGGACACTGAGCTGATTTCGGTGGTGGAGTGGGGACAAAGTGTATGGCAGTAATTCTGGTTCCAACATCTGACTCTGTCCACCCAAGGAAATAATGAGCTGCTTTTCGATGCCCTTTAGTACAGATCATCATTTCACCAAAACTGGCCATTTACATTAGTAGAGCACATGTTTTCTGTGTTCAGTTTCTGCTTGTAGCCTGGCTCTCCTAATTCCCAGTGATCACAGACCAAGTTTAGATTTGTTAAAAGAGAAGACCATTGTGCCTGAGGCACTGCTGTGCACGTGCTCAATAATAAAAAGCCTCACTAGGGGAACCTGGACACTTTAGGTTAAGAGGGCCAGGGAGTGTAGCACAGGCTTGGCCCACGGTTTCTAGAGGGTCTTGTTCTTCTCATTTCTGCCCACACTAAGAAAAATGCTTATTATGGTCCGTGAGTCCTGTCCCTACCCACACCCCCAAATGTTTTCCAGCTGTTAACTGTATCATCAAAATCTACCCTTCAGTCAAAATGTATATGGAGAGGTTGTACCATATATGCATAGTCATTCATGCTTCTTTAAATAGAATTTAAATTTTTTCTTTGATGAAGAGATATAGTATTTCAGGATTCTTTTAAGCTCATGTGCTTTGTATTAGCTTTCTTACCCTAGAATAAGCTTTTATTTGACATTTTACTATTCAGTATAATCCCTCCATTTGGGGTGTAAATAGAGAAAGAACAGTATTACTTAGTTGTTAAACTGAATGTTATTCATAAACAGTATGGCAGCTGCCAGTAGGTTTTGGATGGTGTCTACATAGTAAAATAATCCGGAAGGCAACTTGAAAATAGGTTTCAAAATGTAAAATAGCTTTAAACACTCTTTACCTTGGGTTTTACTTCTGAGGAAAGAGAACGGTAATTAAGGATACACAGGTGTGCACCAGACCTAATAGAAACATTTGAAAAGCAAAACAGCAGCGTCAGTGTTCATTCATAGTGGGATAGTGAAGTAAGTTACGATGACAGTCCTAGTTTTAAAATGGCATACTTACATAGTCATTAAACATATGTGTCATAGATATTGGCATGAAAGGGTGTCTAATATTCAAAGTAATCACTGCAGACTTCAAAATGCTGATTGGTAAATGTATAAGAAAAGTAAACACAAAGCCATGTGACTGTAGAAGCAGTTATACACAAAAACAGTAATGATGTGTCTGGGTGGTGGGATTATAGGTAGATGATTCTGTATCCCAGTTTATCCAAGATAACCCTGGTGTACCACCTGTTATCACAATGTAATTACTAATAGCACCCCCTTTTACTTGCAGATTTGTCTAGATTCAGGTGATAAAATTATATGGTTGCCCTAATTTTGGATGAGTTTTATTGCATAGGGACTAAGTTTTTACAATAGCCATGTATTTTTATGAAACAAAAAATATTAAAATTGTTTTAAATTTGGGGGATAAAGAAAATACTCTCTTGGCATGTCCTCAATCTAGCTAGAGCTCACTTTTCTTTTACCTTATTTTTACTATAAAACCAATTCTCTTTGTAGGTCAAGTACATTTTTACCTTAGGGGATATAGCCCAGCTGTGTCCTTCCAGGGTGGAGAAACGCATCTTCCTCCTGATTCAGTCTGTCCTGGCTTCACCTGCTGATGCTGACCATTGTAAGGCATTTGAAATCATACCCTGCACCATGCATGCCGTTTGAAGGTTCTGTCAGTAATCCTTTCTCCTTTCCCTGCAGTACCACCATCTCAAGGCAGCAGTGATGCCCCAGCCTCTGAGCCACCCTCCCAGGTCAGAGGTTCTGTCATGCCCTCCGTGATTAGAGCACATGCCATTATTACCTTAGGTAAGAAAAACATGGGAGAATGGGGCTTGGCATCAAGTTCTGGGTGTAGCTGTTGTCTTAAGTAAGTCCAGCCATGAATGTGTCAGGGGTTGCCAAGCCTGTCCGTGTTTGCTCTCGGCCCGTGTGGTTTCTAGAGGCAGCTCTGATAAGAGCGCTGAGCTCTGCATAACCACGTGCTGGTCATGACAGCCCTCAGGCTGATAACTCCCCAAGACAGTAAGACTCAGGTACTCTCTTGAGAGTCTAGAGGAAGCCTTTGTTTTTTAATAGGATTATGTTAATTTATTACAATTATACCTGTTTCTGTAATTATTTTCAATGCTTTCACTTGACTTTAATATTCCTGTAATTTTTTATACTCAAAATGCAGCACCATGAAGTCTATTCATCCAGGCACTGCACTGAGTTCTGGAAATGAATAAATAAATGTGAAGTTCAAACCATAAAAGGAAGTGGTTTATTTAATACTTTCCAGAACTGGGTAGATATTTCTCCATGAAATATCTATTTTTAATCTTGAAAACACTGACCTCTGTGCTGGAAGTCGATTTTTTTTCTTTAGTGTGAGTGTATATTTCATGCTACGTATGAGTTATTAATTTTTTTTGTAATACTAGTAATTTTTCAAATACCCAAGAATTGCAAAACATTTCCCAGGCACAAAAGAAACACACAAACAGAACTCAGCAGCCTTTCCAACTGTGAACAAGAAAGAAAGAAAGGGGACATGCATTCTTTCCTATTGACCTAGGTCAGATTTTCAAGTTCAGCACGGGGTATTTAGCATCTGTAGAGGATATGTAATAAGCAGGAGTAAAACGTTTCATCTCTCAGGCCTTGCTGATCATTTTCTAAGTAAGTGGGATAACTGCAAAATTCAAATGTTGACTTTAAAAGGAAGATGAGTTCACAGGTATAAAGGAACACCCCGTGGTATATAACTCCTGGGGGAGTTTTTCTCCTTCGGCTATTTTTATTCAAATAGTCAAGATGGGTCTGTCTGCCTTTTGTTTTTTGTTGTGTGTGCTTGTGGGAATGATGTTTTAACTTTGATTAAATGGAAGCCATAGCAAGATGTATCTGGAGAAAATGTGGGAATGGAATTAGGATTTAGAATAGAGTCAAGACCTCCTCCTGTCTTCTGTGCCAGGTAAGCTGTGCTTACAGCACGAGGATCTCGCCAAGAAGAGCATCCCAGCCCTGGTGCGAGAGCTCGAGGTGTGTGAGGATGTGGCTGTCCGCAACAACGTCATCATTGTGATGTGCGATCTTTGCATCCGCTACACTGCCATGGTGGACAAGTATATTCCCAACATCTCTATGTGTCTGAAGGATTCCAACCCGTTCATCCGGAAGCAGACGCTCACCTTGCTTACCAATCTCTTGCAGGTGCATAGGAGGGTTCCACCTGTCCTTTCTCTCCACCATTGCTTCTGGTTTGAGGGAATATTTGAGTGGCATAGGAAATGTGCTTGCTGTGTAATGGAATCCAAAAATAATTGTCTCATGACTGGTCTAGAATATTAATTACCCTTCTGATATTCAGCACAACCTTCTCAACAGTGTTACTAGTGAATTTTCATTTTGGATCTTTGTTCAGACATTCTGTCAAGCAGTGTGAAGTTTCAGTTTGAAAATAAGTACCATGTAGAGAAAAGCACATTCAGTAGACAGGTAGTTCTAGTTCGAATTCTGTTATTCTTCTTTAACTTGGACAAGTCCACATTTCTCAGATCTAACTTCTTTGTTTATAAAATGGGGATCATAGTCTTTGCGCTGGGCCCTGTGAGTCTAGTGGTATGTTTCTGTGTGCAGCAGAACTTAGTGAACCACAGACCTCTACAGAGCATTATATTTTTATACACATTGAGAGTCCATGTTTGGCCTGTAACAAGGAGAAAATAATACTTGATTTTTAAAGGGAAGGGCTTTCACTTAGATTGTATGTCTGTCCTAGTATGTTCTGTATTCTCATACATCATGAACTCTGTTGTAACTAGAGGGTGGCAACATCCCTCTAGTGCCATGTGCTTTGAGTCATATTTCCCTGGGGTAGAAGGCTGCTGCTGTTCTGCGCGTGTACTCTGCACTATGTTCTGACAGTTGGGAAGTGTGTGCCTGTGTGCTGAGCCAGTGTGCCAGGGACCGACCATGTGGTGGGTGGAGTGTGGCTGGGACCAGTGAGGATTGCCCATGACGATGCACTCTGAAACATGCCGGCTTCTCTCTGTACAGGAAGAATTTGTGAAGTGGAAGGGCTCCCTGTTCTTTCGATTCGTCAGCACTGTGATAGATTCACACCCAGACATTGCCAGGTAAATCGTTTCCTCACATCGGACAACTGAACAGTTTACCTCATTTCTGATGTATGCTGGATTTCTTTTCTTTGAGATTGGTTGAGAGTTACGTCAGAGTCAGTGAGCTTTTGGTAGGTGCCAGAAAAATTAGCAGATTTTTAAGATACTATGCAGTATAACAAACCTTGATTTTGCACACAATTTAAAAGAAAATGGTAGATTCATCATTGGATAATCTCAGCATTGACTGCATTTGCTGACAGTGTTTGCTGTTCCTGAAGGAGCATGAAGAATAGTTTATGCCTGTTGTATTACACCATATAGAGGAACAGCCACTATTGATTTCACTGTGTTCATCTCTAGGCAAAAATTTAAAAAATTTTAAAAAACAGTTAATTTTGATAAAGAGCTGAGACTGTAAGTGCGGAAATTTTAAGGAAGAAACAAGGAATTAAGGTAGAATTGCACAATGTGGAATCAAGTGTAGAGATGACAAGACCCCTTGGAACTGGCATTTCTTCAGACTTGTATGGTGCTGGGGAGTGACTTTGGAAATACTAATTTCTATCCTGCTGTCGTTTTTTTAAAGATTTATTTTCAAGGCTTTGTGAGATGGTCTAATAGAATTTGTTACCCTAGAGTTTGTTGTAACAATAATTCTTATTAAAGCAGGTCTGCAGTTGGAAAGTAGCATGTTGAATGCCATGGCAAAAGCTGCACAGTGGGAGGAGGGGAAGAGGTGTGTCCAGAGCTCATTTGCTGCGAATGGCTGATAACTGTGGGTCCCTTTGGGTCTAAATATAGCAGCAATAATTTTGTCTCAGTTCCATTTAGCAGCGGTTTCCGCTCAGTTTTCTGTAGGTGTAATTTTCCAAGGGGTAGAATATTTCACATGACAAACCAGTGAAACTAACATTCTACTTACTGCTGTGTAAAGTCAGAAGCAAAAAGCTAAGGCTGCCACTTTTTTTTTTCGCTAGCTTCGCACACCTTCTTACCTTTACAACGTGTCCACTATACTGACTCAGGGATCTCTACACAATGCATGGCCCAGGAGCAGCTGTAATCAGACAGGCTGGGAATGCTTTCAGGTGATGTACCTGGGAGCTAAAATTGGTTACTTAACCTGAATTTCCTCGTTTTTCCTCACGGTTGTTAGCTCCTATACTTGTGTGTTAAAAATAGCATTGAGCCGGGCGCGGTGGCTCAAGCCTGTAATCCCAGCACTTTGGGAGGCTGAGGCGGGTGGATCACGAGGTCAAGAGATCGAGACCATCCTGGTCAACATGGTGAAACCCCATCTCTACTAAAAATACAAAAAATTAGCTGGGCATGGTGGCACGTGCCTGTAATCCCAGCTACTCGGGAGGCTGAGGCAGGAGAATTGCCTGAACCCAGGAGGCGGAGGTTGCGGTGAGCCAAGATCGCGCCATTGCACTCCAGCCTGGGCAACAAGAGCGAAACTCCGTCTCAAAAAAAAAAAAAAAGCATTGATCAGTGAGTAAATTACGTGCAGGATTTGCACATATGAGTATTCAGATCGATCATCAATCAAATGAGAGGATAGATAGAGATACTTTACAGTGTAGTAAGATTATCAGTGCTAACATTTTAATACTTCCACCTTCATCTTTCCCTTGTATGTCTGCATTTATTTAAACCATAGTTCAAATGTAGACCATGATTTTCAGCTTTGAAAAGCTGATGACTACGTTTGCTTACTAATTTAAATTAGTCTGTTCTTTGAATTTTTTTCTTTTATTTTTATTTTTATTCTTCCGTGTAATAATTATACATATTTATGGGATAGAGAGTGATGTTTTGGTACATGTGTAGAACATGTAATGATCAAATTGGGGTACTTAGCATACCCACCACCTCAAACATTGATCATTTCTTTGTGTTGAGAACTTTCCAAGTCGTCTCTCCTCTCCTGGCTTTTTGAAAATAGTGAATTATTGTTAACTATGTTCACCTTACAGTGCTGTCGAGCATTTTAGCATACTCCATCCTGTAATTTATATTTGTTAACCAGCCCTTCTGTGCCCTTCCAGCCTGTAATCACCACAATTCTACTCTCTGATTCTATGACCCTACCTTTTTTTAGCTCTTATATATGAAGACATGTGGTATATATCTTTCTGTGTCTGACTTTTGATTTTTAGGCCAAAGGCTATACCTGTCTGCTATGTTAGACTTATTATTATTATTATATTATTGTTATTATTATTATTTTGAGACAGGTTCTCATTCTGTTGCTCAGGCTGGAGTACAATTGTGCAGTCATGGCTCCCTGCAGCCTTGACCTCCTGGGCTCAAGTGATCCTCCCACCTCAGCCTCCCAAATAACTCGGACTACAGGTGCATGCCATCATACTCAGCTAGTTTTTTAATTTTTTGTAGAGACAGGTTTTTGCCAGGCTGGTCTCAAACTGCTGGGCTCAGGCAATCCACCCACCTTGGCCTTCTGAAGTGTTGGAATTACAGGCTTGAGTCACTGCACCAGGCAACACATTTTTCACGTGTATCTGCTAATGCAGGCCTTATGAAGAGACTATGTTTTACAGAGCCTATTGAAATTTTTTGTGACTTTTTTTTTTCTTTGAGGTTCTGGGTTTTTATTAGTGGAGCCAGTAGTCCCCTTCCACCCCAGCCCAGACAAAGCAGAGAGTGAGTTGGGGGTCTCTGTGTGGGGTGGGAAAAGGTACCAGTGTCTCTCTTCCAGACATAAGCACCATTTGGACTACAGATAGAGTCTGGACAGTCGGGATGGAGGGCAGATACAGGGCTGCAGCATGGTGGGACCGCCCCAGTCCTGCTGTCCTCCAGCAGCTTAGTAGCTGGGGTGCTGTGGATGATGAGGAGTTTCTGTCTGGGTGGGCCAAAGGCAAGTAGCTTAGACAGCTGGGGGAAGGGTTTCTACCTCTTTCATACAGATCCAGATCTGCTCCCCATCAGCCCCACTCAGCAGCACATGCTCTGTAAGTCTTCATCTATCTGTGGTATCTCACAGAGGACATCCTGGACCACACCCTTGCTGGCCTCACCATCCCCTGCCTCCCTGAGGTCTGGGGTATCTGGAGCTGTGAGCACCTCAGCTGCCCCCACTGAGTAACTGTGAGGTTGGGGGCCTCAGTAGTCACAGCCCCTCCACTGGAATTGGAGAGCTAGCTGGCCACAGGCTGCATCTGCATGATGGCACTTCTGGCAAGAGGGACTGGAGCTGGACCCCACTCATTTCTTACAGCCCTGCCTCCCCATCACCCACATTCTGTAGAATGAGGCTCTGCTCATCCCTGCAGGTTTTTGTTCTGTGCTCTCTGTATGACTTTTTTTTTTTTTTTTTTTTTTTTGGAAACAGGGTCTCACTCTGTTTCCCAGGCTGGAGTGCAATGGAGCAATCATGGCTCACTGCAGCCTCAATCTCCCAAGCTCACATGATCCTCCCACCCCATCCTCCCAAATAGTTAGGACTGCAGGTGGGTCCCACTGCAAGTAGCTAATTTTTCATTTTTTATAGTAGGATCTCACTGTGTTGCCCAGCTGGTCTCAAACTCTTGGGCTCAAGCAGTCTTCTCACCTCAGCCTCCCAAAGTGCCAGCCAGGATTAGGCATGAGCTACCACCCCTGGCATAAATGACTTCTTTTTTTTTTTTTTTTTTTTTTGAGACAGAGTTTCGCTCTTGTTACCCAGGCTGGAGTGCAATGGCGCGATCTCGGCTCACCGCAACCTCCACCTCCTGGGTTCAAACAATTCTCCTGCCTCAGCCTCCTGAGTAGCTGGGATTACAGGCACGCGCCACCATGCCCAGCTAATTTTTTTGTATTTTTAGTAGAGACGGGGTTTCACCATGTTGACCAGGATGGTCTCGATCTCTTGACCTCGTGATCCACCCGCCTCGGCCTCCCAAAGTGCTGGGATTACAGGCTTGAGCCACCGCGCCCGGCCCATAAATGACATTTTTAATTGCTCATATAAACCGCAAATTTGGAGGCTACAAAATTGTATGATCTGTTTTCCTGTCTGCCCAATAGGTAGTGGCCTTGTAGTCACAGGGTGGCAGCCAAGCAATAAGCAGATGATTTTAGTTTAACTGGGCACTGCCACAGGAGTGCAGAGAGGCAGGGCCAAAAGCTTAAGGTAGGAGAATGACTCAAATAATGGACCACTGAGATAGAAAAGGGGGCAACAAGAAGGATGGCGTGGTTTGGGAGAAAAGGAAGCGAGCACTCGACTGTCTGGAGGGCTTAGTGAAGCCGTGGAACAACCCGATGGGGTGAGGGAGCCAGGAGCCAGACCGCTGGAAGGATTGGCAGGGCAGCCGTGCATGGACTCTTTGATCTCCACTGTGGCAACTGGGTCCAGGGCGTTGCTGCCACTGGGGACATTGGGTCCAGATGGGAGGGTCACTGGAAAGAAGGAAGCCAGGAAAGTAGAAAGTTAGGGCATCCAGTGGCTTATCTGCATGGACATTAAAGACACGGAGTCCTGCGGGGATTTGGAATGGAGAGGAAAACCAGGACCCAGGTAGCAGAGAGGGCAAGAGGCAGGTGGCAGGAGCGCCACAGGGAGGCGGAGGCGGGGGCCGTCTGCAGGTGCCACAGCAGCCTGTGTGCGTCTTAACCAGCATCCTGCCTGCACTTCCCGTGCTTCAGCGGACCCGTTTCGAGCTGTCTGCCAGTGTCAGAACACTGTTGGCAACACACTGTCTGGTCCACACGCTCCATACAGGCTTCCTGAGAGGCACGAGTTTGGTTCTCTTACGCCGTACTCCTAGCACCTGAAAGGGAACATGAAACTGAGCAGACACGCAGTGAACATTTGGTGGGTTTAGGCAGGAAAGCACTGGCGGTCTGGGAAATGTGCTCCTCATCCTCTGACCGAAGGATGAAGCAGCCTTCCCTTGGGAGGGCTGACAGAGAACTGGTGTGCTCGAGGACAGCCAGCCCGCATTCATAAAGAGGAAGCATAGAGTGCCCTGAGAGTTGTCTGTGGAGGACAGGGCCTGATTCACTGTGGAACCTGGAGTGCAGAGTACACGGAGGAAGGAAGCAGCAAGTCAGGGACGACGCGGGTCTAGACAGACCATCACAGGCGCTTGGATTTGGGGTGGCAGTCAGGGGGAACTAGGGTGTAGGAAATACTGCTTCAAGCCTCAAGTGGAATTCTGGCATACATGGGTCTGAGCCCCAGTCCTTCCCTGAGGTAGATCAGATGTGCTTTGTAGGCCAGGTCAGGAACATGAGTTCAGCAACAGCAGCCTTTACTGAGCAGACGCCTGCTTCAGAATGGCATTCGGCTCATGAAGAAACCTGAAAGAAGTCAGATTTTTATGTTTCCTACTAAAGCTGAAAACAGAAGTGGACACAGAGCTCTTCCCTTGTGGCCTTTTGGGCTGTTGGAATATTATGGATTTCGATTCTTAATAAGAGAGTAGTAACTTCCTTTTACAAGGCTGTAACGAGGTAATCACTCAGATTTAGCTGGTGGACCATATAATGCATGCAGCTCACACTGTGTGAAATCTCTAGACCTCATCCCTGAGTTAGTGGTGTGGGTGTATGTGCTCCTAGAAGTTGTCCTGAGGGCTGGGGAGAGGATACTGACCAAGCTCCCAGCTTACTAGGATTCCCTGAGAGTCATGGAGGTTTCCTAATCCACATACCTGGAGAGCGCTGCCTCTCTTCACTCTGAAGGAATGTTCTAGGAAGCATTACCTGGAATGCTATTTTCTCCTGACTCTTTAGCAGACAAACAAGAAACAAAATAGTCCCTCTTCACCAGTCAGAAAGCTTGCAGGATCTGTGTACCTTAATCTCATCAAGGCTGAAACTTGCCCTTTGAATTAAGTTCCAGTGAATATAGCAGCCAAGATGAGTTGCAGTCACACATTGGCTGTGGCTTCCAGTTTCTCTTGCTGGAAAGCTCTTGACTCCGTTTTCAGTGCTGAGCATGTGAATCTGGCGTGGTTTTATGTTGCTATGGAATTTGTCTAGCTGATGCAGCAAGTTTTTCACTAGGGCTTAAACTCCACGGTATCGTACCCGTTGTTGGTTACCTCCACCCATGTGTATTCTTGACCTAAACTGCATAGATTGGCATTTGACATCAGGTCAAAACTCAGAGTGAACCCTCATCTTGTGGAAGGTTTGCTGATTCTGGCTTTACGTTTTCATTTACGTGACTTCATTTCTGAGGAGGAAGTTCACATAATGTAGAAACTGCCGTGCCATAGTAGATGACAACAGTAAAATGCACAGAAGATAAATTCTTGTTTGTTTAGTGGTGTTCTCCATTCTTGTCACAGATGGTTTACCACAGTAATCCTGGTTTAGAAAGAACTTCATCTGATGCTGTGACCTTTGCCTTTCAAACAGGGTCATTAAACAACATAATTTGTAGAAAATAAACTGACTACTCTTAGATCAGCCAAGTACTTCTAGTTGTCCTTAAGTGAATTTTGACTCATGGAATTCCTTTTATTAAACAGAGTTTTATTTAGTTTGTTTTTATATTTCTTTTTTTTTTTTTCTTCTTGAGACTGTCTTGCTCGGTCGCCAGGCTAGAGTGCAGTGGCACAGTCTTGGCTCACTTCAACTTCTGATTCCCTGGTTCAAGCAATTCTCCTGCCTTAGCCTCCCAAGTAGCTGGGATTACAGGCACATGCCACCATGCGCGGCTAATTTTTGTATTTTTTAGTAGAGATGGATTTTGCCATGTTGGCCAGGATGGTCTCCATCTCCTGACCTCGTGATCTGCCTGCCTCAGCCTCCCAAAGTGCTGGGATTATCGCCGTGAGCCATGTACATGGTCTCTTCACGTTTGTAAGTCAGGCTGTTCCTTTATTTCCTAGGTGAATAGTCAAGGTGTAATTATCTACAGTGGAATTTTTATCTAGGCTTACTTCCATCGTGATTTTTCATCTACCTTCTTTGATTTTTAATTGCTGGGCTGTGAACACAAACTGAGTTGAATTTTAGCATAAAGAACACCACTAGGGGAGACAAAGGGTCAGTCTCCTATGTGGTCCCAATGCCCTCGAAAGCCAGTGTCTGCCATTTGGACAGTCCTTGACACTGGTACTTTCCCAAAGAGAGCTGACTGGTGCTCCTGTGGGTGGAGATTGCATTTGAGCTCTGAAATGAAATCAAAATACTGGTCTTGGCAATGTGAGTGGATCACAGTGAGCCTGCACCACGTTAGTTTTGACCTCTAAGCAAAAATCAGTGCTTTGGCATTCTGTCACCTACTATCATGATGAACAGAAACTCTCTGGTGGCCTGTAGTCAAACAGTTGCCTATTTTCATCTGGCACTGGAAATCTTCATTCTGCTGGGGTCCTGGTGGCGTCTGTGACCATGTGTAGCACTGCACAGATGTGTTGAGACAGAACACCTTTGCAGACCCCCTGGCAGCCTCAGACGGCCTTCACAGTTGTGTTAACTACACCTAACACAGTTGTGTTAACTACACCTCCTCTCTGGTGGGAGGGGAATGCCCAGGGCTTGCTGGTGATTCCAAAGGGAATTGAGTCCATTGCTTTGCGGAGGGAGTTTGTCCTCCTGACCCAAACTCTGAAGCTCTTGTCATTAATCCCTATTATTGAAAAAAGTTCCTGTTACTAAAATTGTTTTTTGTTGATAATTGTGGGTGACAAGCTTGAGGTTGGGAGGTGAAGGCCAGATGTCCCTTTTCTGGTGACCATCGTCATCGTATCAGCCTTAAAGACCACTGGCCTCTAATTGCAGAAGCACTTTTGGGGTTAAGTTGGTTGACTACTTTCCCCTCTTCAACTGCAGTCGGATAACAACACCTTGTGTCAGTTTTGAAAGGAAACCTGGTGGAGAAAATGCTCACACTGACCTTGGATTAGAAAGGAAGCTGTGGAGCAAGGACAGACAAAACAGCTGAATTTCTGTCTTCTTTGGATCCGAAGGAACTGTTTATTGCGATAGACTTTGAATCCCTACCCTTTTGCACAGCTGTCTTCTGCTCAGCAGAGTTCTTGGTGTATTCAGAGGCTGCTGGTACATAGCAAATGCGTCTCCCTCTTCGTTTCTCTCACCTTTGCAGCTTTGGGCAGTTTTGCCTGGCTCACCTGTTACTGAAGAGGAACCCTGTCATGTTCTTCCAACACTTCATTGAGTGTATTTTTCACTTCAATAACTATGAGAAGCATGAGAAGTATAACAAGTTCCCGCAGTCAGAGAGGTCAGTGAAGCAGCTAAGGAGCTCTCCTTGTATCTGGGTAAGAGCCGAGGGCCTTGGGGGAAGTTTTGCTCTTTGCATGTAGTGGATAGACATAGACCCTGCCCCAGGTCTTTACTGTGGCCTGACAGGATGGCGTCAGAAGAAGCTCGTCTCACAAGCGAGTGTCCCCTCCCCAGGCTCATCTCACAAGTGGGTGTTCAGCTCTCCCTAAGTTCATCTTACAAGTGTATGCACCCCTTTCCCCAAGCTCATCTCAAAAGTGAGTGCACCCCTTCCCCCAATTGCTTCCTAAGGACAGTGCCTGTGATGGGCATCGGGTTTCTCTAGTGCACTCGAGTCTTTGGCATGCAGCTTTGAGGATGCAGTTAAAATGTAGGGTTAAATCCCTGCCACCCATGCCCATGTGATGCAGTAAAATTGGCTTGTTCTGCCACAGGGAGAAGCAGCTGTTTTCATTGAAGGGAAAGTCAAACAAAGAGAGACGAATGAAAATCTACAAATTTCTTCTAGAGCACTTCACAGATGAACAGCGATTCAACATCACTTCCAAAATCTGCCTGAGTATTTTGGGTAAGCCCAGTGCATGTGGGAGAAAATGTGTGTGTTTGCAATTGAAATGCTCTGTTGATGATGGCCTAACAGGTCTCTAGCAAGGGGGACCCTGGCACTGCAGGAAGATTCTTGTTATCTTGTCCTCTGGCATCAGCTGTGCCCCAGTCAGACCACCCTTGCAGACCCCCGGCAGCCTCAGATGGCCCCCTGTTGTGTGAATTACAGCTCCTCTCTGGGCCAAAGCATTTCTCAGAAGCTTATGTATTTTTTCTCTCTCTCAGCATTCTTTGCTGATGGCATCCTACCCTTGGACCTGGATGCCAGTGAGTTACTCTCAGATACATTCGAGGTCCTCAGCTCAAAGGAGATCAAGCTTTTGGCAATGAGATCTAAACCAGACAAAGACCTCCTTATAGAAGAAGACGACGTGGCCTTGGCAAATGTAGTCATGCAGGAAGCTCAAAAGAAGCTCATCTCACAGGTGAGTGTCCCCTCCCCAAGCTCATCTCACAAGTGTGTGTTTAGCTCTTCCTAAGCTCATCTCACAAGTGTGTGCACCCCTTCCCCCAAGCTCATCTCAAAAGTCAGTGTGCTGCTTTCCTAAGATTATCTCACAAGTGAGTGTTCAGCTGTCCCTAAGCTCATCTCACAGGTGAGTGCACCCCCTCCCCCAAGCTCATCTCACAAGTTGAATGTGCCACTTCCCTAAGCTCATCTCACAAGTGAGTGTGCAGCTCTCAAAAGCTTATGTCACAAGTGAGCGTGCCTCTCCACTTAAGCTTATGTCAGAAGTTCATGTGCAGCTCCAAGCTCATCTCACAAGTGAGTGTACAGCTCCCTTAAGCTCATCTCACAAGTGAGTGTGCAGCTCCGCCTAGCTCATCTCACAAGTGAGTGTGCAGCTCCCCTGAGCTCATTTCACGAGTGTGTAATTCCCCTAAGTTCATTTCACAAATGAGTGTGCAGCTCCCCCAAGCTCATGTCACAAGTGAGTGTGAAGCTCCATAAGCTCCTGTCGCAAGTGAGTGTACGGCTCCCCTAAGCTCATTTCACAAATGAGTGTCCCATTCTTCCTACCATCAACGGGCTTTCCTGTTCTCCCTGGAATCCTGGTGCATGCCCTAGTGCTGACTTCTTTCTTACTGGTGGCTTTAACTCTTGCCATGTGGTGACAGTTCTCAAATCTGTTTCCTGCTCCAGTGTTTCTCCTGAGCCTGAGTTCAGGTCCCCCTGCTGCCCGGACATGTTCCAGGTGTCTCTGACTTATTCTGTCAAAACTCACTCAATCTTCTCTTCTTTCTGCTCTTCATCTCCTCTGTCTCCTCATTTTATGGTGTTCTTGCAGACTGGAGTCTGGTGTGCCAGGCTGAGGCTTTTGTTGGCAGCAAGTGGAGAGTTTGGATCTGAACGATTCTGGGGCAGAACTTGGCTGCCACTGTTTTTCTCCTATCCTGGATTGCCAATGTGTATTTCCTACCCGGCCCCTGAAGGCTTTGGACCCCAAGGATATAGACTCTGCTCATATCTTGTCCCAAGATCCTGCCCATTTTCTCTTACCAGTCTATCTCTCTAGTTCTGACCTTATTTAAGCTTATGCCATTTCCATGGTTTCCTTATCACCCTTTCTGTTTCTGGTTTCTTTCTGTCACTGGCCATGTACCACCTTGCTGCCAGAGCAGTCTTTCTTAAGTACAAATTTAATCATTTTATTGTCCTACCTGAAACAGACCAAAGGCCTGTTGACTGTGAGGGGTGGCAGAGAGCTTTTGGGTAATAGATGGTAGGTGGTCTGTGCTGCTGGTTATTCAATATAGACTTTTGTCAAAGTTCATGGAACTGTTCATTTAACATGGGTAAATTTATTACATATGTTATACTTCACTAGTGAAATCTTTAAAAACTATGCGGGTGACTTCCTATCTTCTGAATAAACCCTGATTCTTATTTTTCAAGGTGAACAGAACTTCTGGTGTGCCTTCAGCCTTTCCCATACTTCCCTCCATCCTCACCTGTGACCTGTGCACTCCAGATTGCCATCTGCACCTCAGTTGTGAGCTGCATCCTGCTCCTGTGCCCTTGCCTCTGGGTCTAATGTCTGCAGCACTCTCACCCACCCATCCTCCCTTCCCCACACATCCTGGGACCACCCATAGCATGGCCATGTACCCCTTAGGCATCCCGCCTCCGTACGGAAATTGCCTAACACCCTGCCTCTTGCACCTATTCCCTTAGGACACTCACTGTGTAGAAGCAGCTGGAGGGCAGGGATGCTTGGCTTCATTTTGCATCGCCAGAGGGTTAGTTCTTTGCCTGGACAGAGAAGGTGCTTGATAATACTTGTCAAGTGATTGCAAGGAAGCCGCTTCTTAAGACTATTCCTAAACGTAACATCTGCTCACATCTGGGTGTGCTAAATTGCTTATGTTGTCCTCCTGTTTCAGGAACTCTGATGAGACGTTTTAGAAATGAGTGGTTTACAAGTAAGAAACATATACTAGTGACTTTAAATGAGAAGGAAAAGAGTACTTTCGGCCGGGCACGGTGGCTCACGTCTATAATCCCAGCACTTTGGGAGGCCGAGACGGGTGGATCACGAGGTCAAGAGATCGAGACCATCCTGGTCAACATGGTGAAACCCCATCTCTACTAAAATACAAAAAAATTAGCTGGGCATGGTGGCGCACGCCTGTAATCCCAGCTACTCGGGAGGCTGAGGCAGGAGAATTTCTTGAACCCAGGAGGCGGAGGTTGCAGTGAGCCCAGATTGCGCCACTGTACTCCAGCCTGGGTAACAAGAGCGAAACTCCATCTCAAAAAAAAAAAAAAAAAAAAAAGAGTACTTTCAGCTTCAGGAAGATACATCTTGTATATGTAGGCTACTATAATGAATTTTTTTTTAATTTAAAGAAAGTTACTGCAAAGTATTTATGGTTAGTGATCATTCAAGGTAGATTGTGAAGACTTGGTCAAATCCAGTAGTATGTATATATACATTCATAGTATTCTGTAGATGTGTACAGAGAGAGAGACAGAGCTGGCTGTCTTCAAGCCTGGCCATTTTTAGACCATTGTTCCTTCAGCAGCAGGACTATAAAGCGTCCCTCTGGGTAGCCAGAGCGAGCTGACTTGTGTTCCGAGGAGAGAGTGTTGAATGGAGGACTGAATGTGGAGCCAGAGCCAAGGTCTCTGAGGGGCTCTGTGGAGATCTGGGGCTTTTGCCAAAAGCTACTCAACATGTTTCTAATTCCTTTTCCCCATTTAGAAAAGAGGAGTAGTATTTGTCCTCACCCTACCTTACGAAGCCTTCAGAGTGTTTTGAGTTAATGCTTACAAAGTCTCCCAGAGAAAGGCAGGGGTCCTCTGTACCCACCGTGTCGTAATGAGAAGTAAACTAAACTGATGCAGTGTGCCAGAGTGGCTCTGCTCCAAGACCTAGATCAAGGAGAGGCTTCGTCTTTCAGAACTTCATACATCTAAGACGTGTCTTTGTGTTACCAGGTTCAGAAGAGGAATTTCATAGAAAATATTATTCCAATTATCATCTCCTTGAAGACTGTGCTGGAGAAAAATAAGATCCCAGCTTTGCGGGAACTCATGCACTATCTCAGGGTAAGGGTGGAGCCTGTGCCTTCGTGCTCGCTGTCCTACCGGCTCATTAGGATCTTCTGCCAGTTATGGCAGTGCAGGCGGTCAGTGAATAATTAGAACCCCAAATTCTGCAAACGCAACATGACCTTGGTAACTGTTGTGGAGCGAGGGGTTGGCTCTGGGTTCTACTGAAGCTGCTCCTTCCCTGGATATACAGCTCACTGTGCCAAGCAGGTCTTCCCTTGATGGAGTTCGAGTCCATCTGGAAGACGCTGCCCGCTGGGGTCAAGTACACAGTCATCTTCGTTCATGCTGGTGGGGGTAAGATGAAAGTGGGTCTTCGGGTTTGATTTCAGGGTGCTTACCTTTTGCGCTGACTCAGATTGACAAGGTCAGGAAATCACTGCTGTGCAGCAGCTAGCTGCCTTAGGGGCTGCCATCACTGGGCTGAATTCTTTGATTCTTTGTCAAGCAAGGGGAGACTATGAGGAGCCTGGTCTGAGCAAAGCCAAGAGGTGTTGACTTGCAGGGCAGACCTAAGTGGGGCCTAAGACCTTTCTGGCAAAATCTTTTACTAATAAATAAACACAACATAGTTTTTATTTAATTCAGCAGTTATTTCTCTGTTCACATTATGTGCTTTTCTTCCTCAAAAAAAGGCTACAATTTTTTTTTCCAAAAAAGGTTGCAATAAAAATTACATTGAATATAAATTTTCAAATAGCTTTTTATCATAGGAAGCTAAGGGAGGAAAGGTACTCTCATTGTAGGAGAAAAATAAAAACTTTCAATTATTCTTGTATTTATTGCCCTGCTTTAGATCTCAGAAAGGAAAAAAAGAGCTTAGATTGTACGTAGACTACATAAACACTTAAGAAAAATAAGTCTTCTTCCTGCTTGTGAGCACACACCCAGAGAATGGCCACATGCTGTTTGTCAGCAGCTCCCGGGCATCTCTTCATTGGCCTGTGGAACCCACTCCTGCTGGCAGCTGGAAGAGTGCATGGATTCCTTCTCTTTGCTGGGACTTCCCTCCTAGTTGGAGCCGCAGTGTTTTTTCCTGCCTGTTACCGTTAGGTAGAATGATTCTTTCTCTTAGCAAAACAGCCTTGCCCCTAGCAGCCCTCTTTAAGACCTAAGGATGTTTTTCCCCAGGTATGAGAAAAGGATTTCTGTAAAATCTTCAGAAGAAGACGCAAAGATGGGATTTGAGCCTTAGTTTTAATCCCTGGAGAACCAGTGGGTAGGCCAATGTAGACAGATGAACAGTTTTTAGAGCCACGGCATCCTGGAACTTGCCCCAGAGGCCTTGAGCATGTCTTTCTCCCATTGGGAACCTGGGAGGTTGCCCATTCAGTGCCAGATAGCCAGGATGGTTCCTAAAAGACACAACAGTTAGTTGCTCACGTGTTCACCTGCTCGTGTGGCCAGTGGTGTTTGCTCCGAATATACCATGTACCTGTTAGTTACTCGAGTGGAAATCGGTCATGTCAGTCTTACTGTTCCTCCTGTTAGCTATCAAGTCATGTTGGAGGGCTTTTCTCTTTTTTAAGTTCCTGGGTACATGTGCAGGATGTGCAGGTTTCTTACAGAGGCCAGTGTTTGTCATGGGTTTAGGGCCTATTTTTTTATTCAAGAACACATTAAAGGATGCTTCTGGGTCTGTTTTAGGAGGTGATGCAGGATTACCGAGATGAGGTCAAGGATTTCTTTGCAGTTGACAAACAGTTGGCGTCAGAGCTTGAGTATGACATGAAGAAGTACCAGGAACAGCTGGCCCAGGAGCAGGAGCTAGCAAAACATGCAGATGTGACTGGTACGGCTGGAGGTGCCGAGGTGGTGCCTGTGGCACAGGTAGGTGTGGGGCCCACTGCACTGTGACCTGACGGTCCGGGTTACTGTCTGCTACCTGCCTGTCGTTTGTCCAGCGCCTCTCAAGATCTCCGACATCGGAGGTGAGTCAGCCCAAAGGCCTCGGGAGTGCTGCTTTTGGCCGTTCCCTTGTGCCTTTCTGTCTGTGATGATTTCCTGTGCTCTGGGCCTCCCTCCCATGACGATGTGGCGCGGGAAGTGAGCTGGCAGCAGCAGTAGCTGGGACTGCAGATCCTGGGTCTGCCGGGGTGTGTCACTGTGTTCGCATCTTCCCCCAGCACGCCCTCTTTAGAGCAGACCGGCCCATGGCCCTTTCTCAGAGTAGCTGCCGCTCACTGCACTGGGGAACGCCTAGGTCTCCTGTAGGAAAGAGCGATGCGCACAAAGCAGCGTACTCCTTTTTCTCTGCTGCCATGCCACAGCACCTACAAGTGGCAGCGTTCTCAGGGTATTCTGTTTCTGAAAAGGAAATTCAACTTACTCAGAGCTGATAAGGCTTCAAAATACACTACTATGGACTTACTCAGTATACGAAGATTCTGTTCCAATAAAACTGTTAAAACAGAGACAGGGAATGGCTTGTACACTGTTGGTGGGAATGGAAAGTAGAACAGCCACTGTGGAGAACAGTATAGAGGTTCCTAAAAGACTAAAAGTAGAGCTGCCTTATGAGCCAGCAGCCTCGCTGCTGACTGCATAGTCAAAAGAAAGGAAATCAGGACGTGGAAGATATGCCTGCCCCCACCCCCATGTTTATTGCAGCACTGTTCACAATAGCCAGGATTTGGAAACACCCTAAATGTCCATCACCGGATGAGTGGGTAAAGAAGGTGGGGTGATTGACACAGTGGAGTACTTTTCAGCCATAAACGTGAAATCGTGTCATCTGCTGCAACATGGATGAACCCAGAGGACATTCATTCTATTAATGAAATAAGCCAAAGACTGTATGTTCTGATTCACATATACGAGCCAAAAAAGTGGATCTCGTGGAGTTAGAGTGGATGTTGGTTGTTACCAGAGGCTGGGAAGGGGTGGGAAAAGGAGGGGGATGAAGAAAAGTTGCTTAATGGGTACCAAAATAAAGTTAGGTAAAAGAAATAAGCTCTAGTATTTAGTACAGAGGAGATAGAGTTTAACAGTTTACCGTGTATTTCAAAGTAGGAGAATTGGAGTGTTGTCAACACAAAAGATACTCATGTTTGAGGTGACGGAGATCCAGTTTACACTGATTTGATCGTTACATTGTACACATGTATCAAAATCTCACGTGTATACCCAAAACATGCACAACTACCATATGTCAATTTTTTAAAACGTAGAAAGTGTTAGAAGGTACATACTGTTTATCTTCTCTACCAGGTTGGTCCATGTTTAGAAACAGTGCCAGCTCCTGCTGGCCAAGAAAATCCCGCCACGTTCCCTGCCGTGAGCCAGCCCTGCACACCCAGGGCAAGTGCCGGCCACATGCCAGTGTCATCTCCTACACCTGAAACTGGGCCGTTGCAGAGGCTGCTGCCCAAAGCCAGGTAAGGAAGCCCTGGAGGCCACCTCGGGGCTGGTTCTCTGTGGTGATGTTCTCAGAGGCGCCCCTGCCATTCCCACCAAGCATGGCAGAAAGGCATCATCCTTGTCTGGCCTGCCGTCCCGCTCCACACTGGGCCCTGGGAGGTTTGAATGGGGGTGAGGAATGCGCCCGGCTGGAGGCCCCCGGGGACACAGTGCTGCACTGTCGCCTCCGCAGTGGTCTGCGGTGAGAAAGTGAGCGGCCGCGGCTGTTCTCCACAGGCCCATGTCCCTGAGCACCATTGCAATCCTCAATTCTGTCAAGAAAGCAGTGGAGTCCAATAGCAGGCATCGGAGTCGGAGCTTAGGAGTTCTGCCTTTGACGTTAAGTTCTGGAAGCCCAGGAAAAACGTGCAATCAGGGTAAGACTTAAGTTTGGTGCCATACATAGTAGAGCATTTACAGGTCAGGAAACAGAACACGCCTACTTCTCATTCCTTTCAAAATAGTTTCTGTTTTCTTATCTTTAAAACAAATCACATTAATTGGGCTTTTAGGATCATGGGTAATAAAACAATGCATATTTATTCTAGGAGATTTGGAAAACAGAGTGAAGTTGAAACTCACCCATGGCGGCGAGGCGTCCCTTCCTCCAGCCATTATGTTCCTCTTACACGTGTTTTGTCTATGGAATTGTGATCTGTGTGTGCAGTTTTATGACCTGTTTCTCTGCATACTTAAGTCCGACGCAGTAGACAGTTCCCATGAACTTTTCTTTCAACCCTTTGCTTCCGATGGCTTCATGGCATTGTGTCTGTGGAAATAACTTATTACTATCCTGTTCCTTGAAATGTTGGTGATTTTCAATGTTTTCGTATAAACATTGTCACAGTAAACCTCCTTGTACATATAGCCGTGTATGTATGTAATCCTTGGGATTAATTCCCAGCAGTCAAAGGCCGTGGATGTTTTCAACCTTTGGATAGTGTGGAACTCCTCCCTCACTCACGCTGAGTTAGAGTCCTGCAGGAGTGTCCACGTCCTACTTAAAGACACTGCTTTTGTAATTTCCCATTGCCTTTGCTGAGCTTTCTAGACCAAAATTGGTCTGGTTTTCATTTTTATTTGTTTGAATCCTAATGAGAATGGACACTTTTTCTCATGTTTATCATTTATTTGTATTTCTTTCTGAATTGCCTCTTTCTACGAACATTTTAAGTACTAGGGGTTTTAACTTTACATCTTGCAGGTATCTTTTCTCGTTTGGGGGTTTTGTTCTTTGTTGTTGTTTGCGGGTATTTCTGGACATCTACATCTTCTCTGCTTTATCCTAGTGTCGCCATACAGCTTGGAGCAAGAGTCGGATGGCACAGTCGTGCACATGACCAAGCGAGCCATCAGCACCCCCGAGAGTGAGTAACCGATCGGAGTACGCGGGCTTCTCCGTCTCTCCTGCAGTCGCCACGTGTTGGCTGGAGTTGTAGCATGAGACGCCTCTGGTGCAGGATAGTCCTGGCGGTCAAACCCGTGCGAGTGCATTGCTGAGATGGAGTGTTTCACAGCGACCATGGTAGCTTGATCCACGAGCACTGAGTGAGAGTGTTGTTCCATGCAGTCAGTCAGACGTCACAGTGGCCTGCGGGCCCTCATGGGGCAGACGTCAGCACCAGCAGGTGCATGCCCGCTCTGCAGCTGCCAAGACAGGACAGCCAAGGACCTGCCCGGAGCCTGTGTCTCATTCCCCTCTGTGCTTTTTTCTACTGTCTGTTCTTTTCCTTTTATTTCAAAAGAGAGGTGAGTTAGGAGAGTTGAATATTTTTTCCAGTTCTCTTGTTTGATAGCTTTTTACTGTCTCCCATCTTACAAAAAAAAACATTCTTTTGAGAAAAACTCTTACAGGAAGAACAAATTCTTCCTGCCCCAAATCCATGGAATAGTAGCCAGGCCCTGCCTGCCGTGTCCCTGCGTGCCCCTCACTCTGTGCCCGGCTGTGCCTGGTGCCCTTGGCAACCTGCATCCAGCCCTGCGTGTCCCTGACCCTCCTGTGGCACTGATCACCTCGTTGCATACTCCACACTCTTCTTCCAGGGTCCTCCTTGGCCGTTCCACTCCTCACTGTCTCCACAGGGCCCGCCACAGTGCCTGGAACCTGGGAGGTGGCAGACATCTCCTCCTGGAGATTTCTGGGAGGGCAGAGCTGGGCGCTGAGCCCAGGCCTTCTGGCCCCACGTCTCGTGCCCCTTCTGGAGCCTGTCTCCCGGTCCTGTCTGCAGCAGGGGAAGACAAGAGCGTGCTAAGGTGCTTTTCCTGGCAACCGGGCAGCAAGGTGTCATGCTGTTCCTTTAGTCACGCCTTCAGTCGGCTCACATGTATGGAGCACCTGCTGTGTTCTAGCTACTTGAATGTTCTGTCACCTGATGCTGTGATCTCCTAGAATATTTAACAGGTTAGAGGTAATTTTCATCCAAATCCCCTTATTAAGGGAGATTGTCCCACCCCCACCCTCAGACGACTACTGAATCATGATGGCATTTGTCATTAAAAGCAGTGGGTAATTTGGGATCCTGCGTCGTGGACAGGTGCGATGTTCTGCGTGTTGGAGCTTGCTGTATGTTCGATGTTTCTGGCTCAGGAGCATCAAGTGCTTCTATTTTGGCAGTGAGGCACCATATGCTGAAGAAACAGGGAGAATGCATCTCATTTGAGTTGTGCTCATCCTGTGAGCCCCTGATGTCAGTGCTGGGTTGGTTTCCTAGCAGCCCGTGTTCCTCCGCAGTGCAGCCTGGCGGGGAGTGTTCGTACTGCCCTCATTTGCATGTGGGGAGCAACGCTTTGTGCTGGGAGTCAGGCGCCCCGGTGTCATTGAGTCGGTGGAGGACTTGTTCTTGCTTCAGGCTCTTGGACATAGCATTCCTGTTGATGCAGTCTCTGTCCATCTCTCTATACTGAACCAGGAGGAAATGCTTGCAGGGTCTCCTATTAGCTCTCCTTCCTGGGAGAATTATTAGGTAGCCTAAAAGCACTCAGTGCTGTTTTCTCTGTGGTTTATATGTCCAGATTGTTTGGGCAACTTTTAGTTTAGGTGGGGGTGACTGTCAGGAAGTGTCTCAGCTCTTCAGAGCTGGTGGGAAAGATGCCACCCAGTTGAGCTCTGTGGTGCATCAATTCAAAGTGGTGTTGCTAGACAGAAATGAAAATTACTCAGTTTTCATGCTAGGACTTTCACTGAAAATCTGTGGGGGTTTTAGCAAGTCCCTCTTACTGTTACCATTCGGGTGGTACAGACGCTGCTGCCTTTGAGTCTACGCACAGTGCACGGGGGATGTCAGAGCCCTGCACCTGTACTTCTGTAAAGATGGGAGACTAATTTTTTGGAGCACATTTGGGCTTCCAAACAGGAAGAGCAGCCTGTGTGTAAGGAAGGGAATTTCACGTGACAGCACAAGGAGAGACTTCACAGAAACAGAATAAGCAGATCTGGCAGTGATGACAGAATTCTCTACTGTTGTCTGTTAATGGCACTCAAGTAGCCATCAGGTACACAGCGCTAGGCTGATGAGCTTTAAAATGTAAATGGGAAGACACAGTCCGTCCTCAAGACACCGTGTGCAGAACATGGAGAGCTCTGAAGCTGCCTCCTCGCGTGTGCTTGCAGAAAGGCAGCAGGCTCAATGGCACCAGCAAGCAGCTGCCCAGCCCTGCTGTTCCGGGGAGTATGCTGATGGCAGCGTATGCACCGGGTACAGCACCACCCGGGAGGGGCAAGGCTGCACTACCCGGGCCTCCAAGCAAGGGTGGCACGTGTAGGCAGATGGGGCGGGCAGCAGAGGAGCAGAATGTGCAGGCAGGGCGTGCTGAAGAAAGGGATGCAGGAGGGTGGACGTGTGTGCACGCGTGTTCACCTGAGCATAATAGGTAAGTCTGCAAAGGCAGCTTGGGACCAGCTGAGACTGAGGGTGGACTTCAGGCTCTCCTAAAAACACAGAGCCATGGAGGTGTCTAAGCAGGGCAATGAATTTACCAGCTTCTTGATTAAACATAACCCCAGTGATGCAGGGATGATGGCTAGTTAAGTGACAGTGGCCACTAACATCTATTCAGCAGTGGCCTGGCAGCCAGCACCATGCTACGCACTCAACGTAGAAAACTTCATATAGTCCTGGCAGCCCCCAATGAGGTAGCTACGTTTTTATACCCACTTAGATGAAGAAACCTGAGGGTCTCAGAGCAGCTCGCACAGCCGCTAAGACACCGAGGCTGCGGTGGAATCTGCTCCTAAACTGTGTTCTCCTGCTCCAGAGGGCAAACTGGAGGGGGTTCGTCGGGGGCAGGTGTGATGAAAAATCAAAGGCGAGGGGTGGGGTGGACTGAGCCGCTCCTGGCGCAGCTCAGCGGGACAGGATGAAGCGACGACTGGAGGTGGAAGGGACAGGACTTGGCTGCTGATTGCACGTGGAGGAGCTGCGCACGGTGCCCCATTTCCGGCTTGCATGGTCCATTCACTGGCTAGAAACGTAGCAGGGATGCGTGGTGGCGCAGATGCAAGGAGTTGAGTGTCCTCGGGGAATCTGGGTGAGCCACATAAGAAGTGTAATGAGTGGGGCAGGGCGGTCACTGGCACAGGGGCAGTCATGGAAGACGGGGTGGGAGGAAAGCCAGAGGCGCGAGGAGTGAGGACTAGGGTTCGGCTGAGTGCCTAAGGAGGGCTGCGGTCAAAGAAGGGAGTCAAGAGAGATGGAAAGGCGTGTCCCCACGAGGGGCCCTCAACACTGCCAGGCCCTGGGACAGGGTCCCATGGAGGTCTGAGGGCCACCACTCAACACTGATGTAGACACCGTGCCTACACCACATGGACGACTAGAGCAGAGATGCTCCGCCTTCACTCACAGGGTTGTCCCCTTTTTGTAGAGACCATCAATGATGTCACTTTTGGAGCAGGGGTCAGTTACATCAGGACTCCACAGACTTCTTCAACAGTCAAAGGCAAGTTCTTGGTTTCCTCCTGGGCTGATACATGAGCTGCCTTTGAGGTTCTGGGAAAACTGAATTTGTTTATGTTTGATTCCCCTTCAGAGAAAACTGAAGCCTGGAGTCAAGGAAATGACATCTTATGTTTATCATCGCCCGATAAACCGTAAGTTTAGCCATGTTCCTTTTGAGCTGGGTGGTCTTGTCAGGGTTTTTCTGAGTTCCAGAATGACTGCAAGTGTCCTTTCCCTAGGCCCCCACAGCCTCAGCAGTGGAATGTGAGGTCTCCAGCCAGGAATAAAGACACCCCAGCCCGCGGCAGGAGGTCCCTCCGAAAGACCCCTCTGAAAACAGCCAACTAAAACAGCGCATCCCCACCAGTGTCCAGGAGGCTAAGAGCCCTTGAGGAAGCGGTCTCGTGTCCTCCATCTGACAAGGCAGCTGGGTCACTTCCCACAGCCCGTGGGCAGCGCTTTGCTATGGAACACGAGGGCTTTTCCTCCCTAGGGGCCTGGCACTCACCTGCATTTGGCCGGCCAGCCTTTTCTATTCTCTGTATGATGTACATGGTTAAACACTGTAAAATCATAGAGATGTGCCAGATTTAGAAGCCTTATCTATTTAATACAACTTTATTCCATTTGAAAGCATCAAGTCCATTCAGGTAAGCTATTATAATCTGATCTGTAAGGAACACAACTTTAAAACTTCAGCTTTCTTTTATATAAATCAAGCCTCTGTTAACGTGTTTGAATTCCTTATAGTACATATTTTCCCATCTGTAATGACCAAATTTTGATTCTAAAATTTTTTCTATTTATAATTGTAATTTTTTACAAAAAGTGTACAGCTTTTTAAAAGTAATAAAGCTTTAGCATAAATACAGCCTTCCAGTAGTCAACAGAACTTTTCTGTTTTTAGAACAGAGCTCTTATTGGTAAACATTTTAATTTTACATTAAAGCACGTAAGAGGAATGAAATCAAATCTTTCCTGTTAGGAAAAAGAAATGATTGTCCTGAAGGGCAGCTCATCCGCCCACCTGCTTCTGCGCCCACAGAGAAGCCATGTGGTTTCTGTAACAGGCATAAACACCATCCCTGCCTGGACAAAAATGACTTCGTGGCCTCCCTGAGGGCCGCACTGAGCCGATTTGTGGAGCCCTCTACTAAGGGGTGCTCCTGTGACGAGGGAATGACTTGAGTCCCTTCTATTAGGACTATCGCAGTTGGTTTGACTTCTTAATCCTAGTATTACAAAAGCAAAAATACAAAGTGATTTTGTGCATTGGTTGGTTTTGGGGATGGGATGCCACTGAGCTCCGCCCACTGCCATCCCACGTGGGAACCGTGACACAGGTGGACTAGGTGGTGGCGGGCACAGCGCTGCTGTGCCTACGACCCAGGCACGACGTCCCTCGTGGATAGATCGTAGCATTTCTGGTGTGCACGCCTAACCACTGAAATGCTGGGAAGAAGAGACAAACTCAACGCTAAGAGCAAACAAGAAAGAATGAAGCGATGTTTGGGTTTTTTTTAAGTTTTTATAAATGAGGTTAAACAAATACCAAATTATAGGTGTGTTAGTACAAGTCTGTAATATCTATGTACAGCAACATCCATCCCAAAGGCAGAATCACAGCCTCGTATGGGCCTTGGGTCGAGTCACATTCATATCTTACAATACATGAGTGTTCCTAGTCTGTTATAGGCAACTACTTCCCAGACTCCACCTTCACGTCTCTCTACTTCGTCAGACCTGGTTCCCATGGCACTAGTGTAGAAGGTTTTAGGGTATCAGAAGAGGGGGCAATAAGGCCACCCTCTCACTATGACAACCAAGGAGGAGGCTGGAGCGTTACTCCCCTACACTGACTGAGGGTGGGGAGCCATCCCTGTCCACCAAGGTGGCAGTGGAGGGAACTCCCATGCCCAGCATCCAGGATGCCATGCAGAACACGCCATGGAGCACCGAGCCACTGCTGGAGCATTTCCTCCCTCTGCCAGGAGGCCTGTGGCAAAGGGTTTCACATAACTACAAGAAGTCAACATAGTCTCATGTATGCAGTTAAAAAAAGCTGTCAACGTATAAAAACTCAAGACACTGTAAGCTGAACGACCAGGTGACTAGTGAGAGGCATCCCTCGGGCACACGGTGGAGTGAGGTGCTCCTCCTCAGCAGCTCCTTGCTTTGGAGCACTTCAGTCCCGAGTCCAGCACGGCAAGGCATGTGAGGCTGAGAACACCTGCTCTTGAGGACTCAGGCTTCAGAGGGATGTTTCCCCACAAACTGAGCAGTGTCTCCGGCAGATGAAACATTTTAAATCAAAATTAGAAAACTGCTTTTGATTGAGGCATTTCACTTTCCTCACTGCCAGGCCTTTCACCTGCCTGCACCACCCGAGGTTCCTCAAAGGCTGGACTGGCCGCCACTCCATAATGGTTTGTTATGAAATGACAACCTGTGGCGTCTGCGTGCTTTCTCTGTGGCAAAGAGGAACAGTGGAATCTATTTTAAAAATATTATTGTAGTGACAGACTTGATTTCGCAATTGCCTTTGGTCTTAGTCTAAATAATTAAAACAAACTTTAAAAACAATAGCAGTGGGGGCTGTATTTTGTAAGCCATCCGTAACCAAAAAGGTCTGTTGTGGGAGCCCAAAGCTGGGACACTACATGGAAGACACCAGTGTCCCTGGAGTGCCCACCTTAGCGCTGTACTGGATGAAGCAAGGGCCAGGGCCACGGGAGAAAAGCTCACGGGCACACGGCCAGGCTCAGTGATGCCTGAGCCTCCTGGCAGACAGCAAGGCAGTGCTGAGCTAGAGTGGGGCGCCTGGTGCAGCCCCAGGAGCTGACTGACGTCCATCTATGTACATCTGAGGGCTTCTGGGCGGCCTCTGGGTACACACCGTCCTGTTCATCTCAGGAAGAGGCAGTTCAAAGCTAACCTGGGAGGTTTCTTTTGGAGAGATGCAAACTGATTTCAACATTGCTCAACTGTAATTTTGAAAGGTTTCCTAAGCAACAGTGGTTTGATGTGTAGACAGCCTAAGTTCTCTTGGAAAAAAGGCTAAAACTTAGGTGAGAAAATGAACATTGCAGTAAGCTTCCACGAGAGGATTCCTTGGGTAATATACTCTTAATTATTGATATTTTCCAATTTAACACTAGTTCCGCTTGGAACTTCTACCTTAAGTTGAACTCTTTAAAAAAAAAATAGGTTATTTAACATTGTATGACAATGTATTTACAGTTTAAATAGAAATTTTCTTTTCAATAATCAAAATATATCCTTAGCAAAAATTTAGATGTAAAATTTTATAAAATAAAGACCCATAGAAAAGCACATTTCAGTACCATTTCAGACTTAGCCTAAGACGAAGGTTTTCCTTAAATCCTGACACTGTTGGACAAGCAGGGTTCCTCAGGCAAGATCCCTCTTCCAGCAAGCAATTTGCTTCCCGATTGTGGTTGTTTTTATAAAATGCTGATCCAAAAAGCTTCTCCACAACGGACACTGCAACACGGATCAGCAGAGCCTTTGAGAAGAAACTGCGGTGGCGTGTATGGGCTGATGAAGTAAGGCCGCTGCCTACGAAGCCTTTTGTGGGTTCCCGCCAGGACGTGCTCACTGCTGGAGCCACACCGCCACCTCGCCCCCTCACAGGGCGCTCGCTGTCCAGGCTTCACAGGACCCAGCACAGGCGCGTTTATGTGAGCACGCTCTTTAAGATCACCTTAACACTTGTGGGAATCAGGCCAGAAACCCAACTCAGTGAACGCACGCAGTTTCTCTTCCTTTGTTTACATTTACGGTGTCCACCTTGAGGAGAATTCTTTTATTCATGTGGCTTGTTAGAGTAAAAAGAGTAGTGGTCAACTTTGGCCAAAACAAAAAGCTTCTGCATGAGTGTCTAGCTCTGTCCAAGTGCACTCAGCTCTCGCTGCCTTGACAGGAGTTTCTAGTAGAGGTATGTGCATGTGTGCTCTTGGCCACACTGCGGCTCTCAGATCAAAAACGATGACTTGTGTCTGAAGTCGCCCTGCAAAGCCAACACAGAGTTAGAGCCATCAAGGGGCCTGGTGGCAAGAAGAAGAAACACTAAGACTAACATGAGCTAAATACAAATCAAATCATCATTCTTTAAAAGTACGATCACTAGTGCTTGCAAAGCACAAATCCCGTTAGTGTGTGTGTGTTACTGTGAAGAGGCTGAGGAGCTCAGGAGCTGCGTGATCACTCAGACGTCTTCCTAGGAGACCCACACGGTTTCCAAGGAGGAGTGCTGTTTTTCCTGCTGGGTTCACCTAGATTTCCAGGTTTACTAAATCATTACCTCCTCGTCAGTCCTGATGTAGTTAACTCCATCTGCTTTCCCTGGGTTCTTGTAACTGTGAGGAGAAGAGGGCATTTTAGCCACAGGGTCGTGACATCATTGCCAGCTTGAACTTCCCTTTTTTCACAGAAGGTAGGCTCACCTTTCTCCATCCTGTTTACTGCTGATGAAGTAGCCGCGTCTGTATGCACAGCAGATGCCCAACGAGATCAGGGCCAGCACAGCAAGGACAACCAGCACCCCCCCGATAATTCCGCCAATGTTCAGGTCATCTGAAGCAAAGGAGGTTTGGGGAAAGCCATGACACACACTATCTGTTCTTTAAAAGGACCTGCTGTGCCTCCTTCCTTCACTCCAAACCCGCTTGCCCCCACCCTCTCGGGCCTACCCAGCTAGAAGAGACAACACTTAGACCCTTTCCAGCCTAGAACATATAGGACACCGTGACTCCTGACATCATATGTAAAAAGTACTGAGACTTCTACCGTTGAAATGCAGTTACACGGAAAACTATTAAAATGGGCTTGGTACCGGAGGCTTAAAGATCCTCGGCCGAATGCCTGAGAACCTAACTTACGGAGAAAATGCTTCTAACGACAAGATTAGGAGCCAGGATCCCAAGGGAGAAAACATCCCTAATTTCCAGGGTCTCCCTTTGTTGTGGATTGCTGGAGAAAGTTAGTTTCAAGCCCTATTACAAAGTAAAAAATCCTAGGTAAGAACTCGAGCTTCGTCTCCACTGGCTGCCTGACCTCTGATCTATAAGCTCTCTGAGAGGAAACCCCCTGGAGCCCTGTTCTCATGTCTGTATACTGGGCAAAGGCACTGGGGTCACCTTCATATGGGGCTCTGCCAGCTCTTTAGGCAAGCAACACATGGAAAACTATGCAGGGAATTTGTCAACAAGAGCCAAGTAACTTGGAAGCTTTTAAAAACTCTCTGTATTGGTTCTCAAATATGAATGTACACTTAAAAATCAACTTGCAATTTTTTTTTTTTTTTTGAGAGTCTCGCCCTGTTGCCTAGGGTGAAGTGCTGTGGTACGATCTTGGCTCACTGCAACCTCTACCTCCAAGGTTCAAGTGATTCTCCTGCCTCAGCCTCCCAGGTAGCTGGGATCACAACAGGCGCCCACCACCACACCTGGCTAATTTTTGTATTTTTAGTAGACACAGGGTTTTGCCATGTTGGCCAGGCTGGTCTCGAACTCCTGGCCTCAGGTAATGTACCCACCTCAGCCTCCCAAAGTGCCAGGATTACAAGTATGACCCGCCACGCCTGGCCATGCAAATTGATTTTATAATGTCAGTTCTCAAGTTTCATCACTAAAATGTCAGTAGGCTAAAATAGGTTTGGGGCAAAACTTCAGGAGAAAACACCGTAAAGCAGAGGTTCTCAGATGAGACAGATGAGAAGAATCCCTTGGAATGCTCGTCTTGCACACAAACATTTGTAGCATATGTCTGAGGTAGGCTCGCATCTGTAAGTGAAACAGTGATTCCAGATGGAAAACACTGCTCTGGGGGGAGCTGCAAATAGGGAGGATTC